TTTATCCGAGTAACAAACCTATAATGTTACGTAAACTACACCTATTTTATTAACTAACTGTGCGATCTGCTTTAATTCACTCTAGAGCAGAATAAGCTCTACACATGTGCTATATCAGAATAATATATAAATCTACATTGAAAAATTCATACATTTTGTGCCTATATTGGTTACACATTATGTATATGAAGCTGTTTGTTATTACTACACATACATGCGTCAGTTAACCGATCTATTTATTTTTGGTTCGTTCACAAAATTTTACAAAACAATATTAATCAAAGAACAAACGAGAAAAGTTGGAGATACGAAAGCGGAAAACAATGTGATAAATTTCCTGTATAAAAATTTACTTAAAAACATAACATTATTATTGCTAGACATTTTAACAAGCATCGCATTTTATTAGCAATCACTTTGGGCTCATTTCCATGCATAAATGTATATTCACTTATCGAGAATGCATGTTGACCCTGAATAATAAACATATCGCTAAGATAAAACCACGATACAATAGACACAGCGACACTATTTAAGCGCAGACATTGTGGGTATTTAGACATACAATTAACCACAATAATAAAAACTAAAGCTTTTTTTAAACTTTTTGTGGTATACCTTATATGAGACTTTGTAGATATTTAAAAAGTTACTGACCAACTGAGGAATGTCCATAAATAGTAAATAAGTAATTATAGTTAGATAAAGAACTGCAATTCAGCTACAAACTTTAATACCTGAACAGTCCATTTAAACAACCATAGGGCAGTGAAAGATTTAACTTCCAATTGAATCTACAATGAACACATTTAAATCAAAATAAACGACTCTGTATGAAAAAAAGGACAAAAATTAATCTATTTCTATTTTAAACTTTCCAAAAACATGAAGTCTAGACGTATTTTTTTATCGATACAAAGGTGTGAATGAGAGTATTTCTTAGGAACTACTTGTTGGTAAAGATTAATCAACAAGGAACATAGTTTCGGGTTCATTCATCGGCCTAGAATCTGATTTCGTAACAAAACATTTCAGCTCGTCCCATCGAACATTGTCGGATTACGTTTATAGACCATTTGTATGGGATCTGCTACGGTTAATGATTTCGGTCTTCTCGCTTAGGCAACTCTATTCCGAGGCGTAGATAATAACTTTTTATTGGCCCATCGCTATTATGTGTGTTAATGGTAGAAAAGTTCGTAAACACAACGCCCTGTTGGACTTTTGCGTATTTGACTTTAAGTTAGCAAGGCGGCTTCAACTACTGATATCATGATATGTTATTACTACTTTTTTGAACGATGAAATATTAAAAACTATAAATGTAATTAAATATATATAGTATATGGTTTTTTATTCGTTAGATCGCACCGATAACTACAATAGCTTTTAAAAGGTAATTTAATTAGAATAACCAATAAGATTGTGTATAATATAATATTGCTATAATTATATACTAAAACGTATTATATACGAATTTATTTCGAAAAAAAATTTTTTTTTGAAAATGCAATGACATTTAAGTGAAATAACTCGTTTATGTCTTTAATACACAATTACTTACATTTAAGAATATTAAATTTTAACATTTGAAATACCTAAATATGGGGTAAATACATGTCTTCGCCTATGACCACTTCGTTTAAATGTTCTTTTTATTTAAAGGCTAAGGCTGTTTGGTAACAATTTGCGGGAATCCAACAAAGGACCTTGGAGGTTATGCAACATGTGCGCTAACTAGTTACGGAAATAAATAAAAACTATATTGTACATATTAACTCATAAATAAATTATTAAAGTCATCATTTTTAAGCATAAAATTATTCTTATCGGAGTTCCCGACCCGGTCAGTTTTCACACCAGTTCTTATCATAATGTAAACTGCTTAAACAAATTTTAAAGGCAAATATCGCAATACTTCAATATATTAAGTTTACCGTTTATTTTTCTCATGCCGGCAGTAGACCTCTATTGCAGCGTCCAAATCCTGTCTTCGGAGGGTCGCGTCAACAACAAAACACACACAGACTCACTTATGCACTTAACACGTTGTTTTAACTGATAATTCTAAAAGAAAAGCAATTTTAAATGCACAAGGATCGTTTCCAAGTTAAAAACATTATTTAAATCATGAAAACACATGAATGTTTAACACGTTTTGAATATCACCCACGCAAGCATGTTACAACTCGCGACAATGCCGCGTGACTGCAGCCTGCAGGCGTGTCGCCACTCGCCACTCAGCACTCGCCTCGCCGGCTGACACTAACGGCTAGCGCTGTAGATTATAATGTATAGCGTAGCATTTGTACCAAAACTCGAAGCTTCCAACTACAATTATATCCAGTAACGACACTAGATGGCGTTAATCGCAAGAAGCGCTCTTGTTTACATGCTTATAATTATTATAAATTATTTTGTGTTTAAAATACAACTTTAAAATAAACCAAAATATCTATGATGTATTTTGGTATATTTATTTTTTGTAATACATTATAAGTTTTAATAGGAAACCTTAAAATCTTACCTTAATTAAGATCCTCTTAAATATGCACACTTAAAATAAAAGAAAAACACTTTCTAATATCACTTCACCATCGTTTGCTTTAAGGTTTTCTTCATAAAAATGAAAATATTGTATTTACCCCTAGTGCCGGTTGTTTTGGCGCACTCTAGATCATCACTACAAAATTTAAAGATATGGTTATAATTGGTTTCTTAATATGTATGTACGTTTTTTACAATATAAAGAATATACTAATATACTTCTCTGAAAACGACCCGTAACAAAATCACCCCATTATCTACACGCAATGAAGTTAGCAACGAAACCGCACGTCAAAATATACCATAAATAAACCCGTACAACTGGGAGCATCACCCCCAGCCCCCTTTTCAATCCACGTTTGCGAGAAATGATACTTTGAATCGAAATTTGAAATTCCAAGAGTATGCGGCGATTAAATCGATGCCGGCCGGCTTTAGCGTGCGTTAACGAGCGACTATCGTATTCTTTGAGCTATGGTCGTCGCCAGCAAAGTTGAGGGGGCGGCACCTCTTATAATCCCGTATTACAATACGCTAAATCGTCTCCAACCCTCTTAGACTGCAGCCGAAACGCGAATACTTAATCTTATAGGCACTCCATCAGTACAGATTTTTATTTTAATCGCTTACTTATATCAATGTAGGTACCTAGCTAGAAGTAAATTGTTTATACAATCATGATTATAGAATATACGATAGTAAACGTTTCAATGGGTAACTTTAATGGCGTGTAGAAAATTAACGAGGGCAATACGAAAAAAAATACGACATGTTTCGCTATCTTTCTATACATTTCATTATTTTCACTATGTGTGTAGGAGGATCGGTATAAGTCGGTCATAGTCGTGTAGATCCGTGTCCCCCTCGTCGTAGCCCGTGCGACTAATCGATAGTTAGGCATGCTACAAACTTGCTACGCTACGTTATATCTAGCTACTACGATACTACAAACGTAGCTCAAAATAACTTACACCTGTTACTACATTTTTTTACCATTAACCTTTTACTATTTGTCATACATTATCCGAGAACCTCTTACCATGTGTAAGATAGTACGTAAAAAAATTAAAATAATATATGAATTGAAAAGTTGTAAGAATTGTACCTATATATAGTTGTACATTGTTTATTTTATTTGAGATTGGGTTCTTAGCCTGAATTTGATTATTTGAACTCATGCACCTTTAGGTATAAAAGTTTAATAATTTATTTAAAAAACTAAAAGTATAAAATACCCTATTTGGTAAATAAGGACTTTTATTTATTAATATTAAACTAAATTCTATTGTATTTGTTAAAACATGTTTTCCAATTCGTTAGTTGTAAAAAGAGATTTATGGAGAGAGAGAATTATGGTTAGAGTTAGAGTTAGCAACCTCATTAAGGTATAAATAATGTGGTAAACAATAATAATTCGTTGTAAAACTATTTACGCTTATTTTAAGTAAAATGGGATTTTGATTATTTCATTAACATTTTTTTACTGAAATAAGAGAAAACCTTTAAAGAATATAAGGTTTTATCATGCTAAATTAACAGTAAAATATTTAGTTTCATGTAAGAAGTTTACATAATTTACGTTTTGAGTAATTTTTTTAAATGATTCCTAAAAAAATTATATACTTTTTCAAAACCATTGCAATGTTTACAAAAGTATAATCCTGTAAAATAAATTTGTTTACAGATCCGAATTTTAAAATGAAATTGTATTCATATTTTAAATGTGGAATATAAAAAAAGTTACTATTTATACCTTCATCCATACTTATATTTTTTTTTAGCAGTTTGAAATAACTTTAATTATTTTCAAAATCTACGACAAAACGAAAGCCTTACAAATTTTTCAACAATAAATAATATTTACTAACGAAAATTTCGATCAATGCCAACTTAAAGAAAAACACTGGTCAATTTTCTGTCACTGTGTTGGTATTGATTGCGAGAAGCACGCGAGAGCATTACTTTTGAGAGTGCTCAATTGTGCGAAGCGTTGCTGTAGTTGGAACATTCAACGTTAAGCATTATGCCGCTTAATGCGCTCTAGTGCTGTAATTGGAAAACGCACATATACAGCTTTGATACATTTTTTTTCCCTCTTTATTGCTCTGGCACGGTTTGTGCATTAGTCATGACTCATGATACATATTTATTTTCAATAATTTTACTGTCAACTGTCAATTTATTTTTTAAATTGTTAAGTTTCGCTAAATTTCACTCAACACTGTGCAACAGTGCAACATTTTATAATTATTGATAAAACATTTCAGTTTTCAGTTTTTCAATGTGCTAAGTGATGAGTTTAAATCTAAACTCTTTTAAAAAATTAATAAATGTTGTCAAGAATTAAGAAAAAAGTTAAAAAGAAACATACAAAGGTGAAAATATCAAGAATTTGTTAAAACCTTGGTGAAACTTGGGAATTGTCTATAAAACTGAATTTTAAACCTATTGAAATGGCTGTTAATAATATTTTGACGTAAGTTTGATAAATTTTTATAAAAGCTAGCTTATATGAGATTATAGATTTTGGCTTACACATAATACAATCTCTTATTAATTTTATTTTTAGTGGTGAAGACCTAGTAAAAAAAGGAGTAACTAGGTTAGAGGCAAATTTACCTGAGCTTGGTTTAAAAGATGTTGTTCCAAATGGCTCTTGGTTAGAGAGTAAACAGATTCAAGCCGCTTTGGAAGAGAAAAAACATCTGATTGAAGTTGAAAGGATTGAAAAAAGGTATTATACTTGTAGCATATATCAAATTAATTTTACTTAAGGTATATTAATTTAGTCCTCTTAAATATTTTAACTTTAATTACATTCAGTGTAAACTCTATATAACACACTGCATACTTTGACGTTAGAAAGAGTAGTAGTTATATGGAAAGGAGAAAATTCTGTATTAAAAATAGAAATTTTTTATTTCAGACTAGTGTTAGTAATTACGCTATTGCATATAGTCTTTTATTTTCGTCTAACATCTTTTGCTACACCAATAATTATGTTGTATTTTTTAATAATTTATTATTGAGGTATCTTTGTGATAAAGAACAGTGTGTCTACATGTGCAACAATCCCAATTTGTAAACAAAAGAATAAGAAGAGCTGACAGTTGAGTTTATTACAGGCTAGGACAATAAAATGACAAAAGAATGTATGCAGTTCCACAGTTTTAACTTATTTTAAGAAACTTAAAAAGTACTTTGTATTATTTAATTGTTGTTGTTATTGAGGATGGGTTATGTGGTGCTATGTAGAGTGTATCATTGTATGGAAAACAAGCTAAACCAACCCAAACCGAGGGATTTTAATGCTTAAGGGGGTTTGTTGTTAAATCAATAGATGCTACATGGAGTTTACACTGTATTTTCTTTCATTTATTAAGTTTTAATTCAGGTGACTAATTTAATAAGTAACATAAAATAATTTAATAAAAATATTTTTTTTACAGAGGGTCCTTAAGTCAAGCTGATTGGCAGGAAGATCTAAGTCTGGCTGAAGTGACCCAGAAAGTTGGAGGTTACTGGCAATTTCTTGGACATAATGTAGGACCAATTCTATATCTTAAGCCAGAAGAAGCTCTGTTTTTAATGGAAATTGTAAGTTTAAATTTATTTCCTTTTCAGACTTCTTATATTGGTTTCTTTCACTGCTACTTTAACTATAATACAAATTATTTGTTATGTATTATAGATAATTTAAATAATAATAATGTATTATATAGTAATATGTATAATATTTAGAAGAAAGTTGATATAAGTAATAATATACATTTACAATAACCATTAATATTTATTAATTGAACAATTTCAGAATTGTCTCCAATTAAATTATGGTGGTGTTAAGGTTTCATTACAACAGGCTTACTCTTTGCTTCTTCGTGGAGAACTAAATATACTAAAATATAAAGTGTATGCATCACTTAGCAGAGTTGGATACAAAGTGCTTAGACACAAATCATCTACAAAAAGTGTGACCCAACTGCATAAAGTAACTGAAGCAGAAAAATGTACAGTTACAGTAATGGCTGGACAAAATAATGAAAAATGTCAGGAAACTAATACATTAAGTAAGGATTTAAAGACAAAGTGTTATGGAACTTTTAAAGTAATAGATTCTGAAACAAATATAAACTCTATAAATAATAACTATTCTATTGACCATGATGACAAATTGGATAGTAAAATGTCTAAAACATACAAAAATGTTATAGAAATCTATCATAATAAAATTGATAAATTGAAAAGCAGAGTGATAAAACCTCCCAGAAATGAACAACTAAATGAATTCTTCTTTAACATACCAGAATTATTGGGAAAACATGTTGTTACCCTAAAAGTACCAGAGGCAAAATTTTTACCAGATAATATGAAATTAAAAGAAACATATACTATTAACTTACAAAATTTTAACAAAAAATACATAAAAAGGCGTAATCGAACCTACAGCCTTGGTGATGAAGTTAACAATAGCCATGTAGGAAGGTTACAATCGGATTCAAATAATTTCAAAGATAACATAAATACTAATCAAGCACAAAGTAGTGTTTATACTCAAACTAGTTCTCAAGGCCAGAAAAGTACTCAAACGGCAAATGGGCCTCAAATTCCAAATAGTATTAATCACAATAATTATGTTGAAGATAGACATTATGAACATTCAAAGTACATGCCTGTTTTCTATTCAAGGCCCCAAAATTTAAACTATATAAACTTCAACATGATTTTTGACAATACCCTAAATCATGTATATTTTCCATATCAGTGTTATGGACCTCAGGTATGCCCTGGGCCAAGTTTGAATGTTTACAACTCCAGGATGTATGGAAACAGAATGCAAAATTCAACTATACAAAGAAGCAGAGGAAATCACCTACAAAGGATTAAAGATCTTGCAGGAAGACTGAAAATCCTTGTGTCGAGAGGAAATTCCAATAAAGATCATATTCGTGACCTGAAGAATCTTCTTAAAACTTATAATTCCAGATACAAAACAAAATTGAGACTTAGCTCTGATTTTGAAATATTAACTGAAGCAAGTGTTGTTGCACAAATTGATTTAGACCAAGATGATGATGAACCACAAAATAAAAGACAGAAAACAGATAACTCGCTTGAAGAAAATCTCCAAGCTGTTACAGAAATGGCTTTAGAACTTAAAGATTTGGAAATTAATGGGAAAGCAACTGCCAGTCATCGAAGAAGTATTTCAAAGCTTATAAAAACATTTAATGATTGTTACAATGTTGAATATTATTTGACACCAGGATATGAAGTTCTAAATCGAGCAGATGTTTCTTCTGTTACTAAATCTGTTATAGTTGACGATGAAGAACCTGTAAATAAATCAGAAAAACCAAAGAAAAGCAAGAAATTCAGGAATCCCTACAATATCCTTAAAAGGTTATCTGAAAATCAAGGTGCAAGTTCATCAAAAAGCAATTTTCCATCAATACTTAACAAAAACACTGAGCCTAAAAACAGTAGTAAAATTGAAAGCTGGATTCCTTATGATAATAATTTTGTACGAATTGAGATACCTAGTGAAATTGGTGACCCCTTGTTTGATTCAAGAAAAACGCAAATGCTATATGAATTTATAAAATTTAAACCCAACTTTTTAAATTGGGGTCAAGCAAAGATAGCATTTCTAGAAAGTCTTATGGAAACAATTGCAGAGTTTAGCCAATCATCAAATCTTCAAAATGACTTTGATGAAGATTGTCTACTCTCACCTGATTGCGGGAATGTCAAAGCTGTAATGGATAAATTAAGAATCATCAAAACAAATGAAGAAGCTAGTTCTGAATGCCGGCTACATATCGATTTTGATGTTTATAATAGAAATGTAGAGAATTATAAAAAAAAGAATCCTCCAAAACCACATTTCAGAGTTATATGCCTTGAGTAAGTATTTATTATATACATTGACTCCAAATCATTCAAAGTGATCAGGTGTTACATTATCTTAAAGTTACATGTTACAGTATTTTATCTTTAAAATTAATAATATATTCTATGTAATAAGAATATTTAGTTTCATGCATTATTTTTACAGTGAATCTCTTGAAATACCATCAGCATCAGAAGTCGAAGCTCTCGAATCTCGATATGAAGACAACATACCTATAGTCTTTGCTTTAGTCAGTAGCAGCTCCATCTCTTACTTACAAGTAAAATCGACTGAGATACCAATATTTGAGGCTTCTAGTAATCAGTAAGTGCATCCCGAAATCGCAATCAGCTGGTCTGAATATGAGATATAACTATACAAGGGTAACATTTGGAACTTTATTTCATTACTAAAGCTGAAGAACTCTATTTAATGCAATCACTAGAAAGATAAGTTGATAAATAACTGTTTTAATGTTATGTTAAAGTGTATTTAAGTAATGTTTGTTGTCTTTATTCATATACAACATGATCCTCAGGTAACTAGAATGTTTTGTCCTTATTTCTCTAGTTGTTAGTAATACGGACGACAAATTACAGCCTAGAATAACTGAAAATATTTTTTTTATCTTTAGATAATGTCTATGGTAGTATGTTACTGTCATCTTTTGATGTTCCTACTCAGAAAAAAAAATAATATCACAAACTACCATACTTATAAAAATTTATGTCTATATTCAAAGATTTTTTCGAAATACCGAAATATACTTATCCAACCAATAAAGGAATACATGTCCAGTATCTAACTTGGCTTTTAGATTTGAAGATTTTATCAAAGGGCTACAGTTTACTCTTATCAATCAATTTTATTACTAAAAGAAAAACGTCAAATTACCTATTATTATTTATATCTATTGGCCTCATTACAATAAATATGAAATTGGAAAAAGTTAGCAATTGTGCGACTCTTTAGCTTTCGGTTAGCATAATATATTGATTTACGAAAAAATAAATATATTATGCTTGCCGTTACAAGGTAAAGTTATTGAATTTTGATATGATGTCGAATGTTATCTTTTAAATTGTCCCAACTTTACTAAATATTATCCCTCTTATTTAAAAAAACCAAATCAATTACACGGCATCCGTTCGTGGTCGTATTACGTGATAAAATAAAATAGATATTCAATAATTTATTTCTTTAACATGGATTTAGATTTACGTTTGCGTGTTTTAATTTTTTTGAAGTCACAGATATAAAGAGAAATATTAAACCTTTACATTATCAAATGAACTGAAAATATAACATTTTTATAATTACCGTACCATCTCTATGTATTCTGTGGTTTTGACTAAACCACTCATTAGTCGGAAGTCATTATATTTTGTTTGTGTCTATGTTATATAGACGAATTAGCATTTTACTTAACGCTGTGTTACTTTTACTTAAGACTGAATTGGTTTTTATGAAAGAGTTTGTAAATCTTTGAACGAAAACAGGTGTTTTTAAACAAGCTAAGCTTTTTCAGGTTTATTCATATAATTACCTGTTTTAAATGTTAAATAAGAACTGTTATTAATCGTAATAGATATATACCTATATATAACTGATTCCTTATTATATATGATAAGGAATCAGTTATTGTTTATTCTTAAATAAAGCTATTTCGTTTGGCATATTTTTTTTATTTACATGTGAAATTAATTTCCGTGAAATGGAATGGCACTTTTATTGTTTTGCTTTAAACAATAAACAAGAAACTATTGGCTCCACTGATGTTGACTAGTGTACCGATACGTGGCCTCTGGAAATAACAGCAATCAAGTGCCTTTTAAGGGTCTTTTACGAATTTGGTACCCTCTTGAATGATCCTAAGTTGTACAGGTAATAGTATTGTAGCGACACCTACAATCAACGACTGCAAATCACTGCGACATACCGTGAAACGCGTAATCGTAATTATTTTGGCTGCTAAGGATATATAGATACAACTCGACCTTAACCACTGGGGCCTTCGGGCCGGCCAGTCAATAGGGTCCTCCCATTAGGTTGTAGGAACTGTTCACCATTCCTCCTTCACAGTATCATTGTATAAATTACCTCCTGTCACTAACATACAATATGTAATACGCTGCAGGCAATCCTTCTACAGTCTTCACTGGTCCAACTTTTTTTTTTTCCTAGTACCTAAAGTGTAATTGTTTACTTTTATGTAGTATGTATAAAAAACGTGATATTATCTCATTCATTATTTTTTAGTAGATACTAGTGAAACAGTGAATGTTTTGGTTGACAAACGGCCATCTATTTCAAATTAATAATAAAATAATAAGGTGAAACAGACGCAGGAATCTAACACCAATGGGGCTAGAAGACTTCAAACGTCAAAGTATTGAGGTGTATTAATTAAAAGGATTGTTAATATTAATAGTTTATTAACACTAACGTTTATCACGATCCATACAACTAAATAATTGCTAAACGTATTCGTTTTTTTACACAACCATTTGTTCATTTACATCTAATATTATATATTGTGCTTTATACATATATGGGATTGCTTAGGAACTTAGGGTCAAAAGGAATTGTGTAGGAACATACGTTCTAATCCCTTAGCATTCGTACACCAAAGAGGTGTGCAATTTTCCTATACGAGTTTCGTTGATTGTAGTATTATAACAAAATTTATTACTGGGAAGAACTAGACAATAATAATTTTTTGATGTCTTAAATTCCATTCGATTAAAACCTTTTGTTTGAGCACATGTTAATCAAGTTTTGATTTTGATTTCATTCATCAATTAATTAATGTATTTTATTTTATTTCTATAATATATCATATTAACATTGCTTTCCTTTGTATTATATGTTGAACTGGTTAATTTCATTCTTCACGTATTAGTTACATGATATTGTTTGTACGAGGTGAATGATATTCAAAATTTGTGATATTCAAACAAACACCTGTATATATACCTAGAGACTGAATAAAAATACTTTACGATAGGCGTGACCCTACTCGTTGGCGTTACTGGGTCACGCTTGTAAAGTTTTTGCCTTAGTAAGTTTAAGCACTTCGAATACAATTAGTTATCATGTAAAAAACCTAGTAAATGATATTGATACGTATTGTTGGAATTTATACTTAATTTATAGCCACCTTATTTAAGGTGAATCACAACAAATTATGGACGTCTAGGTGCTTTATATTCGTTCTACCTAATCACGATAAACTTAATACGAGTGTAAATAAAAAAATCTACACTACACCTAAGTACTAAGTAAAGTTAAAATTCAGAGTTGAGACAGCTGTCGATGTCGGACGGGAGTCACAATTAGCGCTAAGTATCTGATTATGCAGAAATAAAACGTAAGTCTGACACCGTAGGTACGTCAACAATGTAATGAATTTGGATATTCGCGCGAAGTTCGTTTCTGACCCTGATTTCTAACCCATAGCGCATTAATCATAAACCTTTCCTACCTGAAAATGTCATACATAGAACATTGCTATAATAATCTTTAATTTCTATGAAAGAATATCACAAGGAATAACGTTTTATTCTTGAATAGTGTTTTTTTTTAAGTTTGCGGATCTATTGTGTTTATGGCCAACTAAAATTTACACCAGAAAGTTGATAAAACTTTTGATTGTGTGGTTTGTAGAACTCTTTGAGTCGGTCAATGACCGACTGGTTGATTCGTGGATGATTTCTTCCCTTAGTTTTGCCCAAACAGTGTGGAATCGGCTTCGTTTCAGATTTTAGAAGACAAGGAAAGCCCTTCGTCGAGTTAAAATAAAAGTGTTTGTCTGTTATTATACGTTTGAGCCCGAGAAAATCCTGTAAAAAGAGTGATTAATTAATACTAATCTAATGCTGCTAAGTATTTCCAAACGCTGTTGTCAAATGTTGAAAAGGAACCAAAATACTTCATAGTTCGTAGTTATTTCAAAGGAAAAACGTTAATACTCCCTATGTGCTTTGCTCTTACTCTATCTTCCTTTAAATTTCTACTGTAAAAGTAACTGAACTAACAGAAATTTTCGTGATTCATGTGCTCTTTTTCATATGTAATGGAATAATTGCTTTGTTTTGTCATTCTTTATGTCTAAGTAATTATCTGTAGTTTTGCACGTCTTCCTTACTTATTTAGTTAATTTTTTCTTACAGTTTGCCTGGAAGAGATCGCTTGAAAGCGATGAGGCCGCCCGTTACCATCCTTATTTTTACTCTAATTATTTTAATTGTACTCTATTTTTTGCAAAGAAATATAAATAAATAAATATGTTATTCCTACTTTACGATTTTAATAAACACTCCATACACGGAGATAGAGTTTCAAGGGCAAGATATATTACCTATATATTAGGTCCTTACATATGAAATTGGCGTTTTGTATGGGAGGAACAAAAAGTCGAATATTTTTAAATATACGTAGTCGGTCCCAAAGTTCTGTCATAAATGGAAATAATGATAAAAACAAAAGTACTGATCAGTTTGTAATGAGTGATATATCAATTCTTAGTACATTAATTAAGGAATAAAAAAAGCATAAAAATATTCGAAATAACCTCCCTCATTTTTAATACAGGCCCTTAAGCGTCGCGGCCAGTCGTCTATCGCAGCACACACCATATTCGTGTCGATTTCAGTCACAGGTTTTTTTAAAGATGACTTCAGATTCTCCAAATTTTCATGAGGTTTATCACAGACCTTCCTCTCTAAGCCCTGTCATAATTTTCGGGTCCAAAGGATTAAGGTCCGGACTGGAGGAAGGCCAATCCTCATGTCTAATTAAGACGATGTTTTGACGCTCAAACCAGGCTTTAGTGGTCTTGGCTTTGTATGCAGACGCAGAGTCCTGCTGGAACACGAAGTGATGTCCCGCAAATAGGGTGCTGGACATGTCTTTGACAAGGCGATACAAAACCGTCTCTTGGTACACTGTAGCACTGGTTTTGACCCCCTTTTCGAAAAAATTAACCTCAGTTAGCCCGTAATAGGACACTCCCAACCAAACCATTACTGATGATGGATGATGTCCATGTTGCACCCTTGGAACTTTATTTTCAGCTTCTTCAGAACTCCTAGCGTACACTGTATAATTCTGTTTATTGTACTTCTCTTCAATATCGAAAAATTTTTCGTCCGTAAAGAGGATATCACGGTGTCGGTTTTTCGCGTACCGCTTAAACAACACCCGCGATCTCTTAAGCCTTATTGCTTTTAGACGAGCATTAAGTAAGTGCCCACTCTTTTTTGTATGCTCGTAGACCAAGATCTTCATTTAAAACCTTTTTTACTGTTTTCCTACTGACACCCATCTGCAAATCCATCAACTTCTGTTTTCGGACAGGATTTCTTACTATCCGCACCTTGATAGCTTTGATTACTGCTGGTGTTCTTGCGGAGCGTGGCCAGCCAGTTCTTTTCTTGTCCTCAACACTGGAGACTTCAAGGTACCTATCAATAGTACCGTACACAAACCTAAGCGTTATATTCACATTTTTGAGCAACTTGAAAATGGTACTCGGCGAGTGTCCACAGCGGTGCAACGCAATAACAACTATTCGGTTTACTTTCAATGTCCACTCCATCGTGAAAAATTACGGAAAGTTATTGTTTTTTGTTTTAAAACAATAATCAAACATTCCAAAATAGAATGCAATAATTTTTTTATAAAATCCTGCCCGAAATGTAGAAATAATTTGCTAGTGACAGAACTTTGGGACCAACTACGTAATATATTTAATTAATCAAACTATGAACCATTGTTTTCTATGCACTTTTGCCATCTCATAGGTAGTTCATTGATCCCTTTACTAAAAAAACCAGTCGGACGGGAATCAATAAAATCTGTGAAGGCGATTTGGACTGCCCCATCAGAGTTAAATTTTTTCCCTTGCAAGAAGTTGTCCAAATTTCGAAAAAAATGGTAATCTGTTGGAGCAAGGTCCGGGGAGTACGGAGGATGTCTTAGACATTCCAATTGAAGCTCTTCTAATTTGGTAGCCGTCTGTTGTGCAGTGTGTGGTCTAGCGTTGTCGTGAAGTAGCAGTGGTGTGGAGCGATTGACCAGCCTAGGTTGTTTAGCCGCTAGCTTTTCCATCATGGTTTGCAATTGCTGACAATAGACATCAGCCGTAATAGTTTGGCCAGATTTGAGAAAACTGCAATGAACAATACCGGCACTAGTCCACCAAACGCTTACAAGTAACTTTTTTGGGGTTAATTTTCGCTTGGGGCAGGATTTGACTGGCTGGCCAGGATCCAACCATTGCGCTGAGCGCTTCCGATTATCGTAAAGAATCCATTTTTCATCACAGGTAATGATTCGGTTTAAAATACCTTCGTTATTGTGCCGGTTCAGTAATGTAACGCAGCAATCGACGTGCGTTGGCCGGTTTGCCTCAGACCTCAGTCAATTCGTGAGGTACCCATCTTTCAAGCTTTTTAATCTTCCCAATTTGCTTCAAGTGAATTAAAAAAGTTTTATCACTAACACCGCAGCCTGCAGCTAACTCGGACGTGGTTTGCGATGGATCCGCTTCCACAATAGCCTTCAATACTTCATCATCAACTTGGGTCTCAGGCCGTCCACAGGGCTTATTCTGCAGGTCGAAATTTCCAGAACGAAAACGTTGGAACCAAAAACGAACTGTGTTTTCTTTTGCAACATGACCGCCATACACATCATTCACCCTTCGAGTAGTTTCCGCAGCACTAGTGCCACGGCGGAACTCGTACTCGTAAATAATGTGATACTTTAAGTTTTTCATTTTGTAAAATGAGTGACGCAAACATAAAAAAACAGAAGAAAAAAACAAATGAATGACGGTCATCGAAGCACAAATACATGAGTAAATAGCTGTACAAATTTGAATTTGGAATTCCTTACCAAAGAGGAGAACATCGTGATTAAAGTGGCCAGTACGAAATACGCCAATATCATATGTAAGGACCTAATATATATAAAAATAATACGTAATAATATATATACGTATATAGTTTATAGCAGAAACCTACACTAATTGTTTCCTCTTGATAGAAGCCGTGTACGGTATAAATAATAACTGATTACTGAGGCCGGAACAGGATTATCTGTCAATTTATTAACAATTGAGAAAACGTCAGAATTACCTGGACCCTCACCATTTCTGCAGCCGGATCAGCGACAAGTCTCTCCCCATTAACAAGTAGAAGCCTAGACTTGGGGAAGCGCCTGAGCCACCGACGATAAGGCCGCGCGTATATGCCCAATCTCACTGGCGGCCATGATGCATCAACGGAATATGTTCCACCCCATTGAATAGAACTATTTAGTAAGGCAAACTCTTCGAATGGTGGTAGACCTGGTCGTTTGCTGAAAACACTGTATGTTTGCGCATTCTCGACTCTGAATTTTACCGTACGACTGTTAGGGTAAAATTCAGAGTAAACAAACGCAGAGTTGTTAATAAATAATTTACGTTTTTTGCAAAGTTTTAATTAAGATGTTTCACTGGCCTGGTAATTATTATTTATATATTAATAATTATAAATACTGTAGAGAATTTAATAGTCGACTTTTCGACAACGACGATTCGTAAGGAAATTCAATATATATATATTCACTAGACGACCCGGTAAACTTCGAATCACCTACATATATTTGTGTCAAAACTAATTACAAAATTCGGCTCTGTAGGTTATACGCCTATATTAAACACAAAGGCATGGAAATATCATGGATAGGACACAGTTTGAAAACAATTTTCTTGAATTTCTATAAATGATTTTACCTGGCAGATTGTGTATAGTCACTAATCGCTCTTGTAACAGGATCCCTGACCACAGCAATAAGCTTTACCGCAGGATTCATTGCATACACGCGTTTCGGCGCTGACTTTGTCACCCAATAGGATGGAGTTTTTTCCATCGTGATCTGCCCTTCTAAAGTCGGTGGCATTTTTTCTCTAAAATATAAACTTAAGTCTTTTATTATTTAAATAAACGTCTTTGTTAAACTAATTAAATTACTGCAAGGATAATAACTAAACTTTAAATAATAATAATTGTATAAAACATTTTTTACCGCAAAATTTACGATTTATTTGGCCGTTCGAAATGTCCGAACTGAGAAGCGCAAATATCTGTTAGTAATCGTTATTACTAATTAAACTATTTGCATTGATGTAAAAAGTAAAAGTTTAAAAAACTAATTAATTAATTAATAAGGGTTTATAATTTTTATTAAATTTAATTTTAAAAACTACATCAGCCTATCAACTATAGTACATAATATAACCTTCGAAATGTATATGTATAAACCTTTTCTCAACTGAATTTAAAATCTACAACGTCACGTACCTGTACCACTCGAACCCCATATGATAATATTTATCGAAAAAATGAACTTCTGAACCGGCAGCTCTCACGTCTGGATGAAGCCTTAAAAATTATATCAATTTAGATGTGCTGCAATAAGCATTTAACATGTTTTGCCTTACATGTAGAAATATAATTAGGAAAATTGTCCCATAATTTAATTGTATAGTACTGCTATCAAATCTCCTTTGTATCTCTAATAAGATTTGTATCGGAAGGCACAAAAATCTCGCAATTAAGATCGCTTACAATAAAATTTAAAATTGTGAGTAAAACATATATTATATGTACTTACAAACTCTGTCTACAAAATATGCTCCAATTAAAATGGTCACGGAATTCACATACTTAGGTAGGTAAATTATGATTCAAGCACTGAAAGCGGAATAATTGAGTTCTTACCGCAAAAATTCTAGTAGAGCTCTTGTGCCACATTTCTTTACTCCTATAATAAGGGCATCCGGCAATTTTTTAATTGGCGTAACATTTTTTTCAAATCTCCGGTACTCGTAGCCTTGTTCCAAATTCAAGCCCAATAAAGCAGCCAATTGGAAAAATGCACTTTTGTAATGAGATATGGGTCCAGCAATATTTACTGGTCTCTAAAAAATATGTATTTTAATTTGTATTCAATTATAAATCTAAATATACTTTAAGCATAAGCCTAAAATATATAAATACACATAATATAAATACATACCACATGTTTATCAACTAAGGATGTATTCAACACATATAATAAGTATAATAGAAATAATAATGTGAAATACATAAATGTAGTTCGTTTGGAAGAAATTGTAATCCATCGCATTGCTCGGAGGCATTTGTAGCACAAATACAGATTTTATCTAAATTTATTTAAAGTCTCAAAAACTTTAATAAACATTTTTCTATACTAAACCTAATACGGCACATGCTTTTGCAAATATATTTTCGTTACTAAACCATTGCTCGCACCCTGCAATGCGAAACATTAAGCGGTTTTTACTGCGCAGTCGTGAAGTAAATATACCTACGGATACTAAAATTGCATTATTTACATTATGCAAATGCAAATAAGGCGACAAAGAATTAATAAGTAGAAAAAAATACCATTAATAATGGAAATATAATTTATTAATAATTCATTGACATGTTTTTTGTATATACATATTGATTATACTTTACGATAAGTAAATATTTCAAAAAAGCGCGCGAAATTTTATAGAAGTCAGGTATGCTTTTCAATCATAAATATGTGATAAAGGGAGAAGATCTTTATTTCTATGAAAAACATTTCAATTTCATAGTACTAGTATCACTTTCTTTATATAAGTTTACTCTCTAAAAAACAATTATTCCAAATTTCATGTAAATAGTAAGAATCATAACTATTAATGCTCTAACTGACAATTGACAGTCAACAATGACAGTTGACATTAAAGTTCGACATACCACAAGAAAACATTTTGTTTGGTAAACTCGAAGCCGAGAAATAATTTATTATGACAGTACAGAAACTAAACTCGAGTATTTCTGACGACTCAGATGATATGGTTAGTTTACCATCCGATGAAGAGATTTATAGGAGAAAATATCAATTGTTGCTTGAACGATGTGAAGTGTTGCAACAGGATAATGAACGAATAGTCAATAGGTTTGCATTTCAATATCATAACTTCTTATTAAACTAATTGTGTGTTTTTACACGAACTGCAAACAGTGCAATACAAATAATACTATTTATCCTTTTTAGACTTCATGAAGTTAAGAAAATATCAAAGCGACACAAAAAGGATATAAAGTTGCTAGTAGAACGTTTAGATAAACATGGCGATTCATTTAGAACAGCAGTTGTGGAAAGTGATATTAAACCCACACATATTCATTCTACTGTTAAAACTAGCAAACCCCAATCACAAGGTGCGCGACAAATAGAAAAACCAAGTGGTTTGGGTGGTAAAAAACCAGCACCTAAGAGAAAAAGTAAAGGAGATAAGGTAAAAATTACATTGTGTGTTTGTTAGTGTGATTATTAAACTTAATAAATGACTAATTTATTACAGCCAGAAAGAGATCCTAATGCTCCAAAAAAACCCTGCAATGCCTTTTTTCAATTTTGTCAAGAGCAGAGACCGGTAGTTTTAGCCGAAACTACAAATGAAATGGGCTCAGAACCTTCAAAACAAGAAGTAACAAGGCAATTGGCTTCACGATGGAGAGCATTGACAAATGATGAGAAACGAGTAAGATTATTTCATTTTCCCTTCTTGTTTAACTAAAATTACCTCCTATTGTCCTTATAAATGATTTTCGCTATTTTCTTACTAAGTGTTATTTTATATTTTTACAGATATATGTTGCAATGTTTGAAAGATCCAAAGAAAAATATGCAGAGGAAATGTCAGCATACATAAAAAAGGAGCAATGAATTATTTGTTTTCATTATTAGTCTTGTGATCCTAAGATTTTATTTATTTTAACAGCTAATGCATTTCTGGTAGGTGAAAAATACCTTGAGGTTTATATCATTAAAAAATAAAATTGAATTATTTGGTAAAAAACCATAGGTATAGGTTTCAGAAGAAATAAAAACAACTGCAAAGAAAATATTTTAATTTACAAACCAACATATTTGCTAAAATGCAATATTATTATTTAAAACATAAATGTAATTCAGACTTTAAAATTGTCCTTTTCAAGACGAATTGTCCTCATAGTTTCAATGGGATCTGATCTCTTGGCATGCTCCATAACTGATTTTTCAGTTACTCTCATAAAAGGATTATATTGTTTCTCTTCAAGAATTGTTGATGGAACCTGTAAATTTTTAAATGTTGCAAGAGCTTATTTAGTTATAAGTAGTTAGCAAATTTACTATGTACTTCTAACTTGATTTAGTATATTTTATTCCAAACTAATATTTAAACTTATAATAAATATTATTAAAAAACTTAGACAATTATTATGATATTAGATGTTCTACAGGCAAAAGTTGTAAAAATATTTTCAGATGTAGTAGTTGGTATAGGTATTGAGATGGTAAAGCTTATACATATCCCTATTACATATAAATGTGCCAAAACCGCAGTAAATATAAAATAACATACAGTAGGCTTGCCATCGTGTCTTTGCTGGTGAGACCATTCTATTTTACTCTTAATATGCTCATTTTTTGGTTCCACATATGCTGCAAATTTCAGATTTTGCAGTGTGTATTCATGGCCACAAAACACTTTAGTTTGTTCTGGAAGATTCCCAAGAATATCAATTAAGGCTTTGTGCATTTGTTCAGCAGTGCCTTCAAAAAACCTTCCACAGCCACCCAGGAATAAAGTATCACCTACAACAACAAAAATTTATTACATTAATAAAATATTTATTAATTTAAAAATTAATAAATAAATTACAGTATTGATATTCAAATATAATTATAAACAAAAGATTGAATATATACCTGTAAAGACAGCAGAATCACTAGATTCTTCTGGAGATGTCACAAAATAACAAATATGACCAGCAGTATGACACGGTGTAAATAAGCAGAGTACATTCAAGTTACCAATGTTGAATTTAGAATTATGTTCAATTTTGTGTGTTATTGCTCCAATACGATCATCACCACCATAAACTTGTAAATCGGGAAGCATTTTTACCAAGTCCTCATTTCCACCTGCATGGTCCCTGTTTAAAAGTATCACATTACAACTATCAAGGAAATAAATGACAATTTATATTTAGATATTGAGCACCCTTTTTGAAAGAAGCTTATGTAAGTCATATACTTAATTTTAATTTATTACATCAAATATTAATTGCAAATAAATGCATACCAATGATGATGTGTTGTTAAAATTTTAGTTAGTTTTACACCTTGATCTTGAACCGCCTTTAAAACAGTATTAGGTTCAACAGGGTCCACAATAGCCGCTTCTTGAGTTGTCTTATCAACAATCAGATACATGTAGTTATCTTTTAGAGCTGGCAAAATTTTAATATCCATAGTTTTGTATTGGTGATGTTCTTGACTGCTGTGACTTGTGCGTTGATTCCAGACTAAGGCTGAAAGTAAAGTTGATAAGATTTTTTTTTCATTAAACATTATACTGTAATAGGTGGTCATAAATAAATTATAATTATTTACATAGATATAAATCAAAGTGCAAGTACTTACCCTGAAAATAAAGTCTAGTTAATCGCTGTGAAAGGCCGTGTGGCAATGAATTTACGAACCTAGCAAGCATTGAACAAGAAAATATTTATCAAAAATAAAAATAAGATATTGCTGAATTAAAATATTAATTATAATTTTAAAATCAAACTACCTATAAAGTTTAAGACAGAATTGTCAATCGACTTAAGATAAAAAAGATTTGCTCTTTGATAAAAAATAAATTATAGAGTTTAATGATAAATTATTAATATTTAAATTGAATAGGAAAATTTTATTAAACTTAGACTAAATATTTCCGGAAAATTCACAGATTATAGGTCATATTCAGACTTGTAATAAGTGGCTAAAACAGATGAGGAATATCGCTAATCGTCATCGTGACGTGAGTTGATGCATACGATCTAAAAATATGTCATGTCATTCCATTAATATTTGAAAACGCTACATAGATTTACAATGTAAGGTTTGGTTGGGTTCGATAACGATGCACCCGAATCTGATGATATTGATTATGCAGGAGTCTCGGGGGACCTTCATTGGAACACCTCCAAGTGATTTTAGCTGCCGGAAATGCGTCAAAGTATTTAAAAAAAATTTTAAAGTTTTGTGAAATGTATTAAAATTTGTAAACAATCCACCATTATTTACTTTTCTATTGGTTATAAGAGATCACATCACTTATAACCAATAGAAAACAAGATAATGGTGGATTGTTTACAAATATCAATACATTTCACAAAACTTTAAAAATTTAAAAATACTTTGACGCATTTCCGGCAGCTGAAATCACTTAGAGGTGTTCCAATGAAGGTCCCCGAGACTCCTGCATAATCAGTATCATCAGATTCGGGTGCATCGTTATCGCACCGTTACCTTTATTACATTTGAAAACCATTGTGGTTTGTATTAAAGTAACATTAGCAGTCTTGTCAGGAGAGCGACAAATCTATATAAAATAATTCTTCTACTCTTTTTTTATATTGGTTAACCTTAACGTGAATCTATTTCATAATTTAGATCGCAATGCGGTGTTGGAAAAGTTAAACCGAACCATTGGTATAGATCGTATGGATACGACACTTCCTATTCCTTATTTTGTTCCTAACATTTAAATAATATAATAGGCTATATTTTGACAGTATAAAATATTATGTAAAACAGCTCTCCGTCTGTCTAATTCTATATCTGAGTTTAATATTGTTAGAAAATGTTTATGATCGAGATATAATAACATGTGTATATGTTTAAAATGATAATTAACACGTTAAAACTAACGTAAGGGATAGTACTTAGGGGCTGGTAAGATGCCATCAGATTTTTTATAAGATCTAGACAAATAGCTTCACTACAGACTAGCAAGAATGAGGTTTCGCTGAGTTACGCTATTGTCTGTTGGTAAATTTTGACAGGACTTATAAATGACAACATGGTAATTTAAAAAGTTTCATATGTCAAAAGCACGTGGAGTTGACATGTCCGATGAATGTTAAAACAAGCGCAAGCCGCGTTGTTTATGTGATATTTTTTTATTAAAAATGTTATAAACGATTACTTTCCACATTTAAATAATAAAACTCACAATGAAGAGCAAACCGGTGAAACATAAAACTATAAACACATTCCGTGTAAGTATACAGATAAAATAGGTTTGAGGTTGTTAAATTTTGTAAAATGAAGAGTAATATAGTATACTGTATGTTATCAATGAATTTAATGATCATTGAAATATTAATGACTAGTATTTTTATTCATTTTAACCTTGTATTGTACAGTAGAATGTAAACATAATTTAAAATTTTCAGTTTGTACCGTTTGCGGAACGAATAAATTCAATTGATATCCGACATGCTGCTCTGTATCACATTGAACACAGCAATTCACAACAACCTGGGGAGAATGATACGCATTTCCATTTGGCCATACAAAAGTGGCACGCACTCAACTTGACAGAAAATTTTAAAAAGTTTAAAAAGGAAGTTTTTGGTATAATCACAGTACCACAATTAATTCACAGAAAAGATGATGTTTTGGATCTTCTGGAGAAATATTTAAATTTAGAAGATCCATTGTGCCTTCAGCCATTATTAGAGTAAGGATTTTATGGTATTAATATGGCTATTGAAATTTGATATTTTTTTCTACTATTGATAATTATAGAAACATTGCATAGATATTATTGATTGGACTAAGGACTTTACTGTATAAATTTGCATTAAAAAAAAATATTTTATCTTAAGACATTTTTATCTAAGATTTCTTAATATGTATATAAGAAGGTTTACTGAGATTCAATTAATTTGGTTACTTTTTATTCCAGAATTCTAGTGTCGGTTGCAAAAGATTTAAGAAATGATTTCTATCCACATTTCCCAAAGTTCCTTGATATTCTCATCAAATTACTTAATACTAAAGATGCTGAAAAACTAGAATGGGCACTTATTTGTTTGGCTTTTTTGTTTAAAATATTAAAACCATATTTAAAGAAAGATACTGGTGCTGTTGTAAGTAGGATTGTCCCTCTTCTCAGTGAAAATAAACCACAATACATCAACAATTTTGCAGCAGAAAGTTTTGCATTTGTTGCAAGAGATATAAGGGATAAGAACAAGTTTATTGAAACATTACTTAAGTATTTAAAGAATAATGAAGATGTAAGTATTTATTTCATAATTTAATAGACCTATTTAATAATAACATATAAATGCTTTGAAGTAAACTTATTAACACACCAAACATAAGTTTTAGTTTTAGAGTATATAAGATTTAAATATAGTTTTTGTTTACAGACAGAAACCTTTTTCTATAGTTTACCAAGATTCTTATTTTTATGTTATTAAAAAGTTCTCTTACTTACAATTTAATGTGATTATAGTATTAATTTTTATATTTTCAGGCAGTTGCAGGTTGTGGTCACCTTCTATTTGAAATAATTAGAGGAGTCGGAAATAAATTTCACAATTGTATTGACACATATTTACCCTTATTATTACAACAGTTGAAAGAAAATATAGATTATCAAAATACTTTATTCAAAGTACTTACTCAAACAGTGGAAGACAGTTTACAAGTAATATCACACAAGGAGTTTAATTTTTTTTGGGATAATGTACTGAAATATACAGAGGAAATATCAAAGGATGATGGAAATAAAGGATTAGAATATATACTAAGATTATCTGGACAAGTTATTGAACATTGCAGTGGGAAGTATCTACTAAATCCACAGCAGTACACACTTATGTTAGTTAAAGTTATTTGTGAACAATCATCTGAATCAGTTCTTGATGTTTGTGCTTCTATAGGAGCTTTATTACTGCTATCTTCAAATATAACATTATCACAGGAACATGCAGGCATTCTTGTTAAAGTATTACTTCCTTTACCATTTCCAAACATTTTAATAAATTTTGTGCAAAATGTTACTACTTACTCCCAATTTGATATGCACATTTTACCACATTACCTAAACTTTGTCATCCAATCAGACTTTGATCTTGAAGCAATGTCAACCTTATCTAAAATATGTTTAACAAAGTCGCCATTATCCAAGAATGGACTTAAACTTTTTGAATGGGTGAAATACCCACTAGACTTTGGAAAAGGCCTGCCAATTGTTATGGAACACTTTAGGAAAGTTGTGAAGGAAGATTTGCAGAATACAGTTGAGAATCCAACTAAACTAATGAATGTCCTTTTCTGTTTACCACACATAGAAAAATTAGATGTTGATGAATGCATTAAAATGCTAAGTGAGCTAATATCTAAGCTCTTAAATACTTTATCCCAGTACAACTTAGAACATAAACATGAAATGAAATTGCACTGTGATACTTCTGCTTTATCTATATGTGGTAGAAAAGTCATGTTCATATTAGCAGCCACATTGGAATGTGCGATTCATATATCTGGTTGTAAAAGAATAAACAATATATGTGATATTGAGTCTTTATTGCCGATTATAGTACCATGTGCAGCAGATCCAAACTATCTTGTTGCATTGCATATACTAGATTTATACTTAACAGCATATGACTATGAAAACAAATTGACTTGTACTTTTATGTCTTTGGTTGATTCGTATTTGAGAAGCAATGTGTCTTCTCCATTTCATATTGTAAGTATATTATTTTTATAATTAGGTTCTATTTTATATTGCTTGTTTTGTAAAGGACAGAGTATTTATGTTTCCATTACAATGAACTGTTGGTATAGTTAATTATTTTCTATTTCAGGTAAGATTGCTGACCACGCACATCTACAAGTTATTTGAAAATATAGAAGAATTGAACAAGACTGCACAAGTCGGTTCAGAAACTGAAAAGTTTTCTATATTTACAAAATGTCACACAGTTGAGTCTATAAAACCTTCAATACAGGAATATAGAACTCAGATTGCCACATTACAAAAAATGGCTTTTAATACTACCCAATATGAACTTGCGAAAGGTACTGATTTCCATTTATTTTCTTTAAATTACATGTTGGGTATATTATACATGAATTTCAAATTACTTTGGGAACCAGTAGTCGAATTCATAGCAGGGTTTGGAAATGCTCTGAACATTGATGAATTTTGGCCTGTTTTTTATGAGGCCTTAGAAAATTCTTTTGTGAATGCTAAATACAATTTCAAAGTATTTAAGTATGATGACGAGATTGATGGTATGAATGAAATCTTAAAAGATTTATTTGCTGAATACAATAATATTGATGAAAGACCCGATTTCAGTAACTATAGAAATTTAATGTTGAAGATTATGAACAATAGTATTCATGTCTGTGAGGCACGCAATAGGGATGTGGTGACACTTTTCCTCAAATTTATTGAGGAAGAATATCGACGTAACAGTAATGTTTTAAAAATCGACGTCGAAAAACATGATACAACTCCAGTAACGGAAACCGATAATCAAGATATGGAAATTGATGTTATTAATCCTGACCAGAATGCAGATCTTGATATTCAAGATGATAGTGAACAAGACCCTGTTTCTGGCAAAATAATATTTAAAACACTTATTAATATCATGCAAGTATTGTCCCAGTTTAAAAACCCAAGAGCTCTCTATAAGGAACCAGTGTTTTGGGAACTGTATATGGAATTTTTAAAACATAAAAATTCCGGATTACAAAAGTATGCACTAGACTGTGTTTTAAATTATAAAAATAAAAGTGTAGTTGCATATAAAACAAATCTGCACAATTTAGTTGATGAAAAGAAATTTAAGGACGAGCTGGCACAGTTTAAAATTACGAAAGATTCTGAATCTATTCATGCAGAAGACAGAGAACATGTAGTACCTATAATACTTAGAATATTGTATGGAAAAATGACCTCCAAACTAGGAGCAGACAAGAAAGGGGGTGGTCAAACCAGAAGATCTTTAGTTATGAGATATTTAAGCGGTTGTAATGAATCTGAACTAACAATGTTTATAGAAATGGCGTTCACTTATTTTAAAGATTACATGTGTATGCAGCCTAAAGAAATCATGGTTACATTTTCGGATAAAATTGATCTTAAATCTGTGACTAGTCCTGGAAAAATTCACAGTATTTTGAATCTGTTTGACGTTGTAAGAGAATACTTTGGAGGGAGCATGAATGATAATTTACTTTCTCATCTTTTTAAAGTATTTTATGCGGCGTGTTCGCATTTAGCTGCCATCCTGGCACGAGTTGACAAGGTACATGTCAGCTATGTGAAAGTCATGAAACATCTTAGAGTGATTGCTTTGTCTATACTAGGAAAACTTTTTGAGCAATTTGATAGATATCCTTGGAGTAAAGATGAGTTGTACGTTATATTTCATGCCCTGATCTGGCCTTTATTGCCTCGTCTTCATATTGAAGGTATTCACAATCCAACAGCTTTACTAAAGCTATTCAATACATGGTGTCTGAATCCCCGGTATTATGTTTTACTTATCACCTGCCCCGAAAATAATAAAGAACTGAGTACTTTACCTGAAATGTTCAAGCTTTTACTGGCTCCAAAGAGCACTCCTGTCGTAGTTAACGCAATTTTGGATATGGTTGAAAAATTATTAACTTTAACAGAAGACGAAGAAGAAAAAGAAATACCACCCATAGAATCATTCAACACATTGGAAGTCAAATGTGAAATGGATTTAAATTTTGGAAGTAAAATATTAATACCACATTTATCTGGCATTCTGGAAGTGATGAAGAGGCGTGTAGCCAATTCTGCTAAATCGAACACAGTAAATAAAAGGGACTTGCTGATCTTGTCACGTGTTACAGAAATGGTCACAACACCCGAAATGTGTGACGATTTGTTGAATTTACTTTTGCCCATACTAGTAAAGAAAGTTTGTATGAATATGGCTGAAGAAAATATGGAGCACGCTGTGACTACTATTATTAATCTTTTAGGTCACAGCACAAATCCTCAGCAGTATATTAAAAGTATAGGTGTTCTGTTTAATAAAGTTAGTTTAGTTGAAGTTCGGAAGCTCCTAATCAAATTGCTCTTCTCAATGTCAGAGAATTCAACAGCCAACAAAGAAACTTTGACAAAAATAGCTGACGTTATACGTGAAATGAATGCTTTCAATAAGAGATGGATTGACCAACCTGATTTCGACAGAAGATTAGATGCTTATAAGAAAATATATCAAATGTTGGACGCTAATGAGATTGATATTGACCTCGCGATTCTGATTGTTAACAACTGTTTTTATTCTATACGGACAGAAAAAGATATAGGATTACGTGATAGTGCCGGTCTATGTTTAAAAAGAATACTTCCTAAATTACTCATGAAATACAGATCCACATCTGAAGGTCAATTTTTCGTTCGAGATACGGTTTTATCTTTGATATCAACTGGAATTCGGGATAAGAAGAACGATGTATTACGTAATGAAAGTTTGACAATACTCGGAGAATTAACACGAGAATGTCCCGATGCTGACGTAGTTCTCTCCGACTTAGCACCGTTAGCAAACAAAGAAGACATTGAGGTGGACTTCTTTGAGAATAGCTGTCATCTACAGCTACATAGACGCGTGAGAGCGTTGCTCAAGTTTTGTAAAGTCGCCAGAAAGATGATTAAATGCCCTACTCCTAGGACCCTAACTAACTTTATACTACCATTAGCATCTATGTATATTTGTGACGATACATATTCAGATAAAAACACACTTATTGATGCTTGCATAGAAGTGATATCTACATGTTGCAAATTGTTACCCTGGTACCACTATGAAGTTATTCTCAAACTTTATTTGAATAAAATGAGATTTTCGACGGAACATCAGAAGCAATTAACGCGAATACTTACAGGGGTTTTAGATGCTTTTCATTTTGATTTTTCGAAAGTGAAAAATATCGTACTACCAAAATCGTTAATGGATGGTATAAAAATTGACAAAAATGTTAAGAAAAAAGAAGAAATTAAAGTAAATCCAGAAGTTTTAGAGGTTGAAAATATAAGTAAAGATATAAACACAGAAGGTAATGAAGAGGATGTCCAAAGTGAAAACGGCGGTGAAGAAGAAGATCATGAGGATAATGAGCCGGAGGCTGTAGCAGAAGCTAAAGAATCTAATATTCCAGCTTTTGAGAGAGTGACAAATGTATCACCTTCCGTAGCTAGTAGAATCATTAAGTCATTATCAGCTGGATTACTACCCCAACTTAATCGGTAAGTTATTTTTGGAATGTATGATAAAATTTGAATGAAATTTCATTAAACCTAAATTTAAGAAACATTTTAATGAAATGTGCAGTATATGCGATACACTAAAGATAGTATGACTTGTTATCCAATAAAGCTACTTTATATTTTTAATAAAGAGACGAAACAGTGCTTTATTTAAAGGGGTCCAATACTGATTAAGTTTTTATAAATAAGGTATAATTTAAGGTAAATGTATTAAAATATTCGATTTATATGGCTTTTGATATTTCAGAGCAATTGGCAAGCTAACAGAACACGAAGAGTCGCATAAAGTGAATCGTCGTCGAACGGGCTTAGCGAGACAAGAGGAAGACATGTTACGCGTACCTGTTGCGCTGGCACTTGTTAAGTTACTGCAGCGATTGCCTGGGGATATGCTTAAACATCAATTACCTGGGTAAGTTTTGATTATTTATTTTGCCAACATGAAACTTATGATTTGGTATAGATTATATTTACGATATTTTATCACCCTTATTAGCGATCATAAAATCTATCAAAAGTAGGTTATATAGTTTTGAAATAGATACACTAATACTTTGATTTAAAAATACCTTCAAAATAAACTACATATATAGTTGCGTATAATGTAATGCTTGCATCAGTTTCTGTTAATCTTCACCCAACTTCTTTCCAATGTTCAAACCGAGAATAACATAAAACTTATTTTTCCAGAATTATAATTAAACTATGCTCATTCCTAAAATCGCCCCTCAAGCAAGTGAGAATCGCTGCTCGAGACATTGTAAAAAAAATTATGATAACCATTGGGCCAAAGTACCTCGGTGTATTACTTGAACATTTGACTCTTCTACTGACGAGAGGTTTCCAAGTTCATGTATTAGTCGCAACAATCCACACAGTTCTTGATGCACTCAAAGCTGATTTCAAATCTGGTGACATCAACGAAAACCTGAAGTATATCCTCGATGTCTGCATAAACGATATATTCGGACAGCTCTCCGAAGAAAAGGAAATCGATAAACTGCATTACAAAACACCTGAAGCTAAACCGAGCAAAAAGAGTTACGTGACCCTCATGATTGTGTCCCAAAATATCACCCAAGAGTGTCTGATAAAACTCCTACTGCCGTTTAAGGAGGTTCTTCAAAAACACTACTCAAAGAAAGTAGTTCTCAAGGTCCAAGACGCTCTAATGCATATTAGCAGCGGATTGGTGACGAACAAATTCATTGATATCGAATCACTTTTCGTATTCCTTCACGGCATCGCATCAGAAAGTATACCAGAATTCGTATTAACCGCTCCCAAAAGAGTGCTGACTGAGGCTCAGAAAGAAAGGATCCTAAGAGCTAAACCGGACTGTTTTATAATACCAGAAATTCCGAAAAGGAATAAGGAGTCTCAAGCGCGGCACGTCAAAACGTCAACGAAGACGAACGCACACGTTCTCGTCGAATTCAGTTTGAATATCCTATACATCATTTTAAAGCGAGAAAAGGTGCCAAGGGTGGATTGTAAGGCATTCGTAGATCCCCTAATACCCCTGCTGGTAGATGCCATTCAGAGTGACCACGTGAAAGTAATAACTGTGGCTCTTAAATGTATTGCGACCTTATGGACTATAAGAATGAGTACGCCAACTTTGGAAGATATGGTGCAAACTGTAGTCAAAACGATCTTTTCAATTCTTCACAAATATGCAACATTTGAGATCAGCAAACAGAATGATAATTATCATCTGGTTAGGACTGCGTTTAAGGTACAGTAACTTTTATTTTGATGTGATTAAACGCAGGTGCTATCCTTGACGAAATTATAATTCGAGCATACAGAACCACTACTATGGCTAAAGGAATTAAGTAAATTTAATTAATTATGCTATATGATACTAATTTTTGTAGTCTGATTTCTGCTTTATATGTTCACATGCAATTGCCATGTTTTCCCTGTAGAGCGACGCACTCACGCCAAGAAAAGTTTTATTTGTTTCAAAAGTTGAATGGCGCAGAATTCTAATTTCTTCAAATATGTATTTTGTTTAAGGTTTATATTTTCTTTTAATTCAGGCCGTAACCGTGCTCGTACGTAACGTAAAATACTACACATTAGAAGCTGACCAACTTAGAATATTGTTATTATACGCTGAAGGTGACTGTCAAAATGATGAGAGGCAGGCGAACTCATTTTCACTACTAAAAGCAATTTTGGAAGCGAAATTAGTTTCGACAGAATTGCATGAAGTAATGAAGGCAGTGTCGAAGATATGTATTTTGAGCGAATCTGCAAGATCAAGGTGGGTATTTATAAAAACTGTAACTATTGCATGTCGGCCTGCCTCTTCTACTTACAGCCGTTATTTTAAATCTCTGTCGTGTAGTGAGCAGAGTTTATTCGGCGACCTTGATACATTATTCAAAATGACAATACGGTTGGCGATTTATGCCTTGATATGTATACGCGCACTCCGTGTCGTACTTGCGTGCGTGTTATTTTAATTTTTATTTTATTTTAACCCGAATTTCGAAAACTAGCCGCTAAATTGGTGCCACATCAGTTGCCCATAATGTTAAAATACGAATTAAAGTAAAAGATTTCGTCACTGATTTACTCGAGTACTACATATAAATAAAGAAGAAATAATTAATCAAATATTATGTGCCTCTCTATCTCTAATTAACATTTGAATATAATGTTGATTTAAATTGTAATTAATTATTTTCATATGTAAAATTTGTATTTACAATTTTCTTAACCTACCAAGTAATAATAAACAGAATTAAAAAATATTAAAAAGAAAACTAAAACAAATTTAAAGCGTGTGGTCCCTATGTCAGTGTATCTTTAACGCTGGCAGAATTTACTCGCTGTATCGCGATACTCATTCCTTGAGCCAGGAAAGCACCAGCTCTGGGGTCACCGGTACTATCTATCTACTAGGCGACAACTTAAATCTTTAATAAGCGCCTGTGCATTTGAACCCCACGGCCCAAGAGTCTCTACTCCAAACAAAATCGAAGTTGCAGGAGAGACATATTTGGGCCGTTTATTATTTTCTGCCTGCTCTGCGGCGGCCCCAGCTTTTTGCTTGTCCGAACTAGGTGAGACGGGGCAAACGTGTCCACACAATTAGAATCCCAAATATACGTATGATTAAATGAATAAAATTAATTTCATATTGTATTTGTTTACAGAGATGACGCTAGAGGAATATTTGTGACGTATTTAACAAATTACTCGCCTGGGAAACGAATGGAGAAATATATTCAGTTTTTCTTGAGCCAACTCAATTATGAATTGCAACACGGTAGAGAGTCATCTTTGAAGTTTTTGGAAATGATTATTAATAAGCTAGATCGGGTAAGTATTTATAATGTTATTATACTTAACTGTTAATTTTACATTGTAAACTTTATTTTAATTGTCTAATTTAATAATAGTAATCTAAGACTATTATTAACCTTATATGTCGATGGCAAACAATATCGCATTGATTCGAAATCTATTCATACAATTCCCCTAAGAATATTTAGCATATTGGAAAAACTTAATATTAGGTCCTTACATATGAAATTGACGTATTTCGTACTGGCCACTTTAATCACGATGTTCTCCTCTTTGGTAAGGAATTCCAAATTCAAATTTGTACAGCTATTTATTCATGTATTTGTGCTTCGATGATCGTCATTCATTTGTTTTTTTCTCCTGTTTTTTTCTGTTTGCGTCACTCATTTTACCTACCAAATTAGAAGAGCTTCAATTGGAATGTCTAAGACATCCTCCGTACTCCCCGGACCTTGCTCCAACAGATTACCATTTTTTTCGAAATTTGGACAACTTCTTGCAAGGGAAAAAATTTAACTCTGATGGGGCAGTCCAAATCGCCTTCACAGATTTTATTGATTCCCGTCCGACTGTTTTTTTTTAGTAAAGGGATCAATGAACTACCTATGAGATGGCAAAAGTGCATAGAAAACAATGGTTCATACTTTGATTAATTAAATATATTATATTTAAAAATGTTCGACTTTTTGTTCCTCCCATACAAAACGCCAATTTCATATGTAAGGACCTAATATTTTGACATAAAAGGCAGATTTGGTTGTTGGTATGAATGACTTTCTTACATAAAAGTCGTGTCTTCGCATCAATGCGTAATTAAGTGTGTACGTACTTAATTACAAAGCACTTAACAGTCGCTCGTACGGTGAAGCAGATGCTTATGCTGATTGCCTTAATAATGAAGAAATAAATAAAGAGCTTATAGCTCGGGTAATAGTTTGACATATGTTGAAATATTTCATAATTTATTTCACATTCACATTATAGAATTTAGAAATTTATAATGAGTTCCTTTATTTACAATAGGTGATGTTTACTCGGCCAAAAAGTATGGGAATAATTTCATTACACAGTTGCTTAATATTAAAAATTGATTTCAGGTATTTCTTACAAAGAATAGTGAATTTATAATGGTATCATTAGGAGCTTGTATGATGAACGATAGCTCGCCAGATTGTCGGCAAATGGCGGCGAATTGTATTGAGACTTTGTTAAAACGTGCCTCGTCTACGGAGAGGAATAAGCTGTTCCAACTAGTATTGCAGTTATTTGAGGATACACAGGTATGTAAAGAATGCAAGAACAGGATATTTTCTTAAATTGGCACTAAAATAAAAGTAACAAAATTCTTTAACTGATACCTCTTTGAGTGTTTATTTGTGAATAAGGCTATAAATTTTTTGAGATATATATTCATCCCCGCGTGATTTTCGACTTTTCGATATACCGAAGTTGTTAAATATACAGGGTGTGCCGCAATGAATGGATAATATTGCTCCTGCGCGTTGTGTCGGTTCAGAAAAATACTTTTTACGCTTAGTAAAAGTCTCTTGGTTTTCGAGATATTCGATATTTTCGTAAATTCAAATAAACTACAAATGAAACAAGTTTTTTCATTTTTATTTTACTAAACTTTACTAACCGCAGGTATAATACATTTATTACGCCACATCTGAATAGGTTAGGATTGAGATTTTTTTGTTTATTACGAAGTTATTAACTTTTTCTGATTTAATTGAAAATCTGTTTTATCCATTCGTAACAATTACTTATAATATATATATATAGAGAAATACTAAATAAATCTGACTGATATGCTGATATTTTATAATTTCAGCCTATACACTTCGAACTGGCCGCTCAACTTTGCATACGTTTTGTGAACGTTGAGGGCGAAAACTTCAAAACACGTATCGAGACAGTTCTTTCAATACTTAGTGGGAAAATTCTTCTCCTCAGCAATGATATAACTGAGGGGCGCTTTGTAAAAGTCCGATTGGACGACAACGGAAAATCGGACGAGGACAAACAGAAAGAGAAAGACCACAGTCTCATACAAATACTTAATTTAATTGACTCCATATCGATGAATTGTCCCTCCAGTTTGGGAGATCCAAAATTTGTATCCGAATACGATGATATAGGCCAATATTCACAAGTATTACTCGCGTATCCTCACGCTTGGGTCAGGTTGAGGGCGACGAAAATTTTAGGCCATATTTTGAATAATATAGACGTTGAGAGTTTTAATGGTAATAATGAAAGAGGTTTTATATATTGTGACACGGAGGATGGTATAAGAAGCCTTGTGTTGGATTTGTGTGCGCAGTACACGCCCAATGTGGGGAAGGATATGGCTGATCAGGTAATTTTTAGCTATTGTTTGAAATTATAAAACAATGAATAGTTTTTGTTATAGTAAAAAGAATTAATGTATGGAAAACTTAGCGCTTATGATATTTTTTGGGGCCAGTAACAATATTTTTACTAACCCAAGACCTCAGTTTAGTGCTTAACAAAAACGAGAGTGGCCGTATGATGTAATTTTAATCAATAGTTTTGAAGTTATACTTCTTTAGGCGCGTTATGAAAAATTTATGAGAGTGAAATTTTACGATGTGCGCGCACCGTGACACAAAATTAACAGAATGAAGTTGCCTACGGAAGATGCTACGGCATTGGACATAATTTAAAAACAACATTCGAATAATAATAGAATTGATGTTACGCTTAATGTAAGATAATAATAATAAATATTTATTTATTTAATTTTTCAAATGTAAACTGAACGTTATTGACTACAACGACTCCTTTTCCAGTCTTTGATTATTTAATTGTAATTAATTATTTGCATGCAATCAAAAACTATTTTTAATAATGCAAAAGAAGTATAACTTCTTACGCGCGTACACGCACCCTTTTTTTTAACTAAACAAATTTTGATGAATTTTGCATATTTGGGTGGATTTCACAGTAAAACTGAATCATAATACGAATTTTTAATTTATTATTTCCTATTTCAGGTGACAGAAGTAATGTTCCAAATACTAAAACTAGTACATTCATTACCGAGGTTTAGGCTAGCAAATAAAATTCAAACAGACGACTTGGAAATTGACAAAATAGCTAAAGTGAATATAAGATGGATTTTATTTAAACTGCGAAGAGCTATTAATGCAGAAGTCGCTAAGGCACCAATGTGTATGAATATTGTAAGTTATTTATATTAATATATTATTTTTATATTAATATGTATATTCAAAAAGTTTATACGGTATAATATTTTTGTATAACAATAATGGGCAATTAAAAACTTTTTAAACAATTATGAGAAATTACAGGCCTTATAGATTTAAAAATCTAGAAATTAAGGTATAAAGTATTTAGAAATAAAAAAAAAATTAGTCTATGGAATGGAAATTCTTTTAAAAATAATAAAATGTTTTTAGTTTCAAAAATAATTTAAATTACATTTTATGCCCTTATAATTTTTCAGAGAACTGCAATCTTCACAATGTGGCTCCACTTTATTGGTCTCCTAGAAAGCGAAGATTTAAACAAAGTGGTGGATGTAATTTTGCCTCCTATAGTTCGGGAAGTCTCCACGGGAGATGCGGCAACACCGGCGTCGGTCGCTAAGCAACTGGCGGGGAGATTGGGGAAAAAGTTGAGACGAAAAATTGGCGAGATTGAATATGGAAAATTAGCTGCTGATGTGCAAACAAAATTGAACATAAAGCGAGCTGCGAGGAAAAAGGTGATTAATGTTTTTTTTTTTAAAGACAATTCACACCAATTGACCTAGTCCCATGCTAAGCTGGTGAAGCTTGTGTTATGGGTACTAGGCAACGCCAACGGATATACATACATATTATAGATAGATAGACATATAAATACATATTTAAACACCCAAGACCTAAGCACAACACCAAATGCTCATCACATCGATGTTCGTCTCAGCCGGGGATCGAACCCGGGGGATTCGCAGTCAGGGGTACTAACCACTAGACCAATGAGTAGTCAAATAATGATTGTTTGTCTAATCGTAATTTTGATTAGAGAACTTATGGCTCGATTTTCAAGAATAAAATGTTTCTTATACTGCATTTTTAATTCCTAAGCTAAATTTAAATGAAATAAGAATTTAGTTACCTAGTTAAGCAGTCCGCAATTTTACCTTTTTTGAGTATTCCAGTAAGCATGTATTCTAAAACACAAAATATCCTTTCAGATCCTATTACAAGAGAAAGTATTGAACCCAGAAAAGGCAGCAAAGAGAAAACTTCAGTTGCGTGAAAAGAAAAAGCAAGCGAAACGGGTGAAATTAGATTCCTTACACGGAAAACGGTCTAAAGGAAGGAAACGTAAGGCAGAAGACATAGATATTGAAGATAAATTACTTATGGAGGAATAAGGATTTTGTTTTTCTTAATTTATACTGTAGTGTTAAATATTGAAATTGTAAATATTGTTAAATATAAACTATATAAATGGAAGTAGTTTTATTTACTTTGAGGCACAAAAAATATAAAAATTTTCAAAAATAATTTCCAGTTAAAAGAATGGTTTTATTCAAGCACCAGTTGCGAAAATGTTGGTGGTTATTGTATCCTTGATCCAAGAATAAGATTTTCGAACCGATTCGTTTCTATGGGGTTTCTTTGCTTTGACAAAATCAAACATATATAGTCGAATTTTTAATTAGACGATATCAACTGACGTTTACGGTGTTGTCAGTTTTTAATGAAATAAAAATAGTGTTGTGTTTGTCACATGATTTGTGAATGATTGAAAAAACTCCTGAATTAATAAAATTGCCTCGATTGCCTAGTGAATAGTTAACGTTGCGTACTGCCGATATCGGATACGGGTTCGAATTTTAGTCGTGCTTTGAACATACCAACGAGTTTAGTACTAAATACCAATTGTTTTTAACATTAAGGAAATCATTGCGAGGAAACTTGTAAGACTGTCCTATTCTCAATATATCATGTAGTTTATACTATAGATGTTTAATAATATAACAATTATAGGTTGGTAATGAAAATAATAAACATCGCTTATTACATAATTTGTTTTTATTCATCATCAGATAAAAAATCATCACTATCGCTTTCGGTGACATTAATAATAAATCTGTCTGAAACATTGTCGATCATGTCGTCGAGACCATACATTTTATCTTCTTCTTTCATTATGTGAGACACGCAGCTACGCCATTTATCAGGTGTGATTAGTTTAAGTCCTTCTTCAAAAAAGTTTTTTACTTCTGTCATTTTGAAGGTTTTATTATTTTTTGCAACATATCCTTTAGCCTGCGCCCATACGATTAAGCTCACAGTGGTATGGGGGCAGACGTAAAACAATTATCTCATGCTGCGCTGCTATCTCGTCCACAACATACTTTTCGAAATGATCTTGTTTGTGCTGCCGTACAATGTCTATAAGAGTAGCTTTAACCATTGTTGCTTCGAATGAAATATTTTTGCTCGTTAGCCACTCTTGTATTTTAGGTTTAGTCCAAGACATTTTAGGCAGCGATTCTAGTTTCCTGGAGTGGTAGGGGGCATTATCTAGCACTACAACGGAATTTGGTTTTAGTTTTTGCAAGACTCCACTAAACCACTTCTCAAAGGAATCGGCATTCATTTCTTGATGATAGTCTTCTTTACTTTTTTTGGCTTCAAATATTAGTAAGCTGTCTTCTACGAATCCTTCTTCCCCACCTATGTGGCCGATAATTAATCGTTTGCCCTTTCCTGAAGGCTGTTTTAAGCCAGTAGTCAGGCCATCTAGGAAGGCCTGGCGAGTCGATAACACTGTCTGGTCAATCCATGCCTTCTTCGGTGCATGACCTACAAGATAATGAAAAATAACAATTAGTTAATGAAAGTACAATTTAATGTAAAGAAAACAGAAAATTGTAATTACCTTCGTTGATCCAGGTTTCATCTTGGTAATAAATATACCTTCCTTCCCTTCGATACTCTTTAATTTTGCGAAGGTATCGCTGGCGCCATAACATAATGTCCTGTCTGTCAATTAACATGCTTTTTCTTGATTTTGTGACATATTTGAAATTTAAATGTTTCATAACATTTCTTAATGTACTCCAAGAAAAATTGGGTAAGTCTGGGTCTTCATTGACAACCTTAAGAATCTGTGAAGTAATAAAAAAACGTTTTTGAGTAAGGAAGTCTACGCAATCTAATACTTTGGTTTTACAAAGATCATTATTGTGGACACAGAATATAATGCAGTCGATGGAATAAAGTTTGTTACCTTTATAATGGTGGGTGACTCATTTGCATAAAAAAATTATGAACTTTTCGCCTTATAGCGGCCAAAGTAAAATCGTCTAATTTATCTTTGAAATTGTGTTTCGGTCCACGTTTCTCGGGAGACTTAAATTGTTCATTTTCTTTGTATTCTTTTAATACACTGTAAACTGAGGTCACGCTAATTCCCAAAATGTCAGCTGTTTTCGAAACACATTCTTTTTTTCGGGAGCCTCAATAGGTAATAGTAAAGCAGCTTTCTCCTCAAATACGTGTTTGTAGACGTTTTGTATCATAACTTTTTCGGTAACGCTTAAAGCAATCCGTGGTCTCTTCTTTCTTGGATACAAGCTTTGGCTTGACGTGCTTGGTTGAGGATCCATATCGTTTTTACGAAACAATATAGAAATAAAAAAACACAACAATAACCACAAACACAACGTAATGAAAAACTTAACAAAAACTATAACTAAACAGCGTGAGCGCAGAAAAACATTCGTGCTATCAGACCAGAGGTTAGAAGCCGAATGACAAACAAAATGGCGACCGACGCGCGCGGCGTCGATCGGTGTTGGCACTAGTCGCCTCGCCGCGCTCTGTATTACAGCCGTCAAAAAACTGATTGTAGTTACATACTACTAGTACCTAACTTATATCAGAAATCTTTTATACAATTTTAAAATAGTAATAATATTATTTTATAGTTTGAAATGATTAACTATTCACACTCACTCATTGTTCATTCATCTGATTGAACAAGAACTGAATGTATCACTATTACTTTAAATGTGGCAACATTATTTTACTAAGTGACATTAGCTACTGTCAGATAGCTTCGTCTAATTAAAAATTCGACTATAGTTTAAAGGTCAGTACTCACATACGGTATTACTCGATCGAGCTCCACGTCCACACATTGAGCATTGATCTATCGAGTGAGGCGCGCCGTTCAGTATTCACCGAACCGTTCGAGCCAATGGATGTCTGTGCAACAAAGGAGACGGTGGCTATATTTAGCAAGTCTCACAGTGCTTTATAAGAAAATCAAAGAAAATGAAAAGAAAAAACGTTAAGCACAGCTAGTAATTTATCATAACATTCATTTCTCTTATTTTTGTGGGAGAAATCTTTGGACTTGACATTCCATAAATACTCACACTGTCTATATGTGTTAATAAAGTCTTCTATAGCGCTTTTGGAATAAACTCGCAAATCCATTTCTCTTAAAAACACGTGTTTCAATCACGATAAACAATACCAGACTGACGCTCGCCTCGCGCCACTTGCAGTCACGTACACACGTTCGAGTCAAGATTGACGGGTCGCTTTGAGTAGGTTCGAAGGAAATTACTTTCATTTAATTCCATCGAGCCGGCTCGGTGCGAGCCTTCGAGCTGTGAGTTTTGCGGTCCACACGTTGATTTTTACTCGACTTCTAGAAGCTACAAAGGGCTTATTAACAATAAACAAACTAATGTTTCTATGGTTTTGAATTTTGATATTAACAGCTCATGGTATATTTGTTTAAGTTATTTAGCAAGCATGTTTTTTTAGGTAAGTAAATAAAACATTCAAAAACAAAATATTGCTTTAATTAAAATTTAACAAAATCTTAACAATACTAATTATCACAAATTAATTACCTATACAAACATTAACGCTTTGCTAGTGCACAAGCTATTGCAACTATTAAACTAGTCTAATATGTTGAGAGCTTGTAGCTGGCTCAAAGAACCATTCATTAATTTAATGCCTTCTAATCTGCAAATATTATTGTAGATTGTGTATTTTGTAACCTTATTTAAGTAAATAACATTATTGTTTAGTAATTTTGTAAGCAAAACAAATGGTCCTTCGAGCCATACTGATAACGGATCTATTTAAAACTAATCATTGTCATATCACTTTCAAGTGAAATGAAGGATAGTGGCAGTTGAAACTAATTTTTTAATATATAATAATAACTTAGTTTATACATTATGAGTTCGGTAAGTTTACTGATGTGTGTCGAATATGTAGTGTTATACTTTTAAAATATTGCATCTCTTACACACAACAATGCATAAAGTAGAAATACATAAATACTCCTAGGGAATAGATAACAAACAAGGTTGTGCAATATATATTTCATATGAATTTTTATAAAATGTAAACTTAGGTTTTTATTTACTATAAAATAAATACTGTTTAAATAAACAGCAGATAGAGCACCTTGATAATATTCAGCTATATTTTATTAGCATTAACTTAACGCCTATATTCATAAAAACAAAATAAATTTTATTACAGTTTTGACTGAACTCACTTTTGTCAAATTATGTTTACACTATGCTGACGACAAGATATTTTTTTATAAAGGAGTGTATAAGACTGATTATGTTTTTATGAATAACGAGAAGTGTATTATAGCAGCATGCAACAGTTTAAGGTATTATATATACATACATATTTTACATATACATAGTTGTCAGACATATTTGTTATTAAATCGTTGTATTGTTAAAGCTAGAATTTAAAATGGATTTTCTAAGCCTGTGGCTGTATAAGGCTTTATATAAAGCGTACATAAATAAGAGAGGTGCGAAGATAACCTTGCATCTGGGCAAATTCTAAACTAAATAGGCACAAAAACTTACCCTATATTATTTTTATAGAAGCACAACCAACATGTTTAATAAAATCATGTTTTTAAATTGCCTAAGTAGACATTGGATACATCATTCATACATGTGTTTTAAAAAAATGTACATACCTATACCTTTTTTATTTAAGCGCATTGAAGGCAAAGTAAGGCGAAACGGATTTTAGAGAAAAATTATATTGCCGTTTTTGACGGCCAAAGGTTTCATTCCTTTAAAATAACTACATTCAAAGGTATTTTAAACGAGATATATATTTGAAAAAGGCGACTTAATAATATTTTTTGCCATTCCGAACATTTTAACTTGTTAAATATTGAATTAGTAAAGTTGGAAATAACAGTGTATTTATTTTAATTGACTCTTGATACTTACGAAGCCAACGGCTTTTTTCATAATAAAGTTTTTGTATAACGTATAGCGGCATATTTTTTTTGTACAAATAAAAAGCTACAACCCACCAAGGACTTTATCATCCCGATACGAGTATAGTTTTTAGAGTAACTTTTGAATTACTTAATTTTCAAATTACTAAATCTCAGAAAATATTGCCATATCTAAGTTGTTTTCTTAGAGCGGATTCGACCAACAACATCCTGGGAATTAAATCTCAATATATTCATAAAAATTAAATTGATCTCATTACACCGATTTAATGAAAGTTTACTACTTTTTTTTATTTGTCCCTTCATCACGGCGACGGCGTAAATACAATTTAACGGAAGATGGAAGAACGTTAAATAAAAAATTGCAATTGAATTAATTTTTGAATTCGGGTTGGTAGTTATACAAGTTATAATTGAATGTCAAGTGAAGCATGGCGTAATGGTCACAGCTCCTTACAATTTCCTTCTAAATTAAAAAAGTTAGTGATTCAAAGGAGTGGCGGAGAGTTTCTAGCCAGTTCTTCCTACCCGCTCTACACCATTGATTTGGAAACTAATAGTTCATTTAGAACTTCCTTTTTTATCTTGTAAATAATTATCAATTTATTAAAAAAACTACAATTGAAAACCTTAATACTGTTATTGTTCGAAATATAATATACATAATATGTCCGTTGTCCATTTGTGTAAGTTAACACAAATTGTGATAATTAATACGTGGCGTAGCACATGGCAGAGAGTGGCACAGTGCAGATAGAAATGGCGGGATTTGGAGAAGGCCTTTGCCAAAAACGGGCACACATATATGAGATGATAGAAAATATCTTAAAATTAGAATAATGAATTTTTCAAACCAATTCTAAACTAAATGAAAGTGTATATATTCTAAGAATTAAACGAGAGAGTAAAGTTAGAAATGAAATGGTCTGCAATAAAGATGGATTTGGTCGAATCCGCATGCAATTGAAAAATTAAAATTAAGGTATCATATGACTCTCGGTGTACAAAGTCCAAAGTGCGTCACTCAAAGCTTACATTAGCATGCTTGACAGTGGATTATATCTCATAATCTTAGACAGCAGAATCCAGAGTAACGAAGTAGTCGTGGCTAGTACCACGCCCGCCCAACCTAGTTCCAACGACCAAGATGTAGTGAATTCCCTCGCGGATAATAAGGGGAGAGCGGGGCCACGTGGACCAATTAAACCGTCCGCTGTATCGTCAACGTGCGGACTTCCCCGTGTCGATACTCTTTGTACACGCTTGAAGTGTATTATCATAAGTGTGAACATTGCAAATAAACCTGCAAATAAATAAGTGTAAATACCGAAACCAACTAGCAATGAAAAGTTTTGGCTAATCTTATTAAGATTAAAATATAAGTTAAAGCAAAATTTGTTCTGTCTTCAAACCAGTAGTATCATAAGACGAGGCTGTAGGGTCATTGTAGGTATTATTTAGAAAAATCACAGCAGACCCACTCTGTAAAACCGATTTTGAATAATTGTCTCAATATTAGGCTGCGATTGACATAAAAAAGTGCGGATTTCAATTATTATGTCGTTATAACTGCGAAATATAAATTGTAATCTGGTTTCAATTTCTGCACGTGTATGTCACAAACAAAATATCCTAATTTGAGATTTAAGTTACAGGGTAAGCCCGCTGTAAACAAAATCCCTGAAAAGAACATTTTAATTAATGTCACTTACCCGCTAAAAGGTACATAACACCAGTTATGAGCACAGCGCTGATCTGATGCTTACAAACTCCGAAAGCTCCAACCAGCGCAGCACTACCTAATACTATCAGACAGACTAACGCGCATGATATTGACAGATTCTGCATTCCTGAAATAAAACAACCTCAATAAATATATATTTATTTGTTACCAAGTCTTTTTTGTGTTCCAAATTTTTACATGTTTATTAGTTTATTGATTGATTTTTCCATTGATTGGTCCAGATTGATTCGGCCACGGCGGTATTTCTCTCTCATATTGAAGTGCCCATGCATGTACACAGTTTATTAAATAATTCATTCAGAATTGAGACTTAGGACCAAGTACGAATCACATTTCAATAAAATATTGGATTTTGGCATTCGTGAGTAAGTATATAGTATATTTCCATCGCCTCTTGCCTAGAGAATCACGAGTTCCAAGATTGATTTATGTACCTTATTGATAATATTGATAACTTACTATGCTGCCAATCAGCCCGCGGTTCCTCAGATTCGTCGTCTGCTAAATAATTTGTGCACAGCGGCTCTGTCGGGAAACCGGCATTCGTCAGTAATGATACTTCTTCCTCTAAAAAACGGATTATTGTTATAATAATAATAATTTTTTTATTGAACTGCTACAAAGGCTTAAATTGGAGATCAAATGGAGATGTCCTTTTCAATTGCATCCAATCAATTATTTTATCAACATTTATCAAATTTTATTTTATTATTTTTCAACAAGAAAAATATATAGTTGTTACTGTTTATGTTGTCTCTCTCTACCTTTGTAAAAAACTAATCTTGCGTTACTTTATACTTACTATAATATAAGAATTTCCTTAAAAAAGCTTCCTATATATACTTGGTATATATGAGAATATTTGAATATGCCGTTAAAACTTGGAAAATGTTATGTTTTACTTCCTACGTATTTATCATAGAGATCTAGGCTAGGTAACATTTTTTAACCTTTGTATTTTGGTACTGTGAACAACCAAATGTTCAAAGAATTCAGATTTAGAAGAAACTTACTATACTTACTTCTACTATCTCTATCACTTACTTCAAACATTTTACATTGATTGAATATTCATTAATAGACAATACGGCTACAGTATTGAACATTTTTTCAATAGAAATGTAGAAGTTATTCAAATTTTAGCGAAATATTGCCCACAAAAACTCATCTGACCGGTTAGAATATTTTTGATTACAGTTATTGTGTTCAGTACAGCTTTGTTTTCAAGGTTTTTTATAAAAGGGAAATACTTTTGTCGAAATTTCGAGTGAAGCGTACGTACCTAATGTAAAATTGTCGAATAATATCTTCTAAATACGTGAAAAAATTGTTGGTATATTATGTATATAGAATCTCTCCACATTTTTGCGTAAATTATATACTTAAAAAGTGCAACTTTGCTGCAAAATTTAATAAAAAAATTATGTCCCACAACATCTCTGCGGCAGATACATTTGTTTCTTAAGGCAAGTAGGTGCCTTCTATTCCTTCCCGCGATGAATAGTATAAATCGAACCGAGGACATGCAGACTCCATATGACCCGAAGGTATATCATTAGCTACCACGCTACAGCGACCGTTTGCGAAAATTGCACTACCTTATATTAGTTGCATAAGAGTTATATATACCTTCCAAAGACACGCACATCTTCCAAATGCCACCATTCATTGGTACTAAGAATGTTCCTCCGCCTTTTTTCTTGCTCGTGTCTTCTACCTGCAATACATCATACGTAGAACCTACGTTAAAAGCAAGTTTTGAAATATTTTATTGAAGTATAAATTTAAAGAGGTTAGTAGCATCTTGGTTTTACATTTGTCATGCGGTTTTAAATGCTCGTGGGATATGTCAGTGCTCGCTCAAGGATATCTTGGAATGTTGCCAAGACTGCAGAATCTTACATACCTGCAATATACAAGACAAGCCACTAAAACTACTAGATATATTTTTTATACCCAAAACATTCCAAACATTTGATAAATCTTTGCATTTAAAAATATTGTAAAATATTCCCGATTGCAGAAACATGTTATATTGCTCTTTAGAACAAATGGTATTATAACACTTTGAAGTGTAAACGCTTGTATGACATTATATTACATTTGCTTTAATATAAATCGTTTACACGCACGTTACAACAACACTAGACAATAAACTAACATGACGCAATGGAATAAAGAAAATAGAATAAATACAACGAAATCAAAGCTATGCAATCCAAAATTTATAAATTCACCGAACATATTTGTATGTCTATCAGTTTTTGAAGTTATACTTCTTTAGGCGCGTTATGAAAAATTTATGAGAGTGAAATTTTACGATGCGCGCGCACCTGTGACACAAAATTGGGAGTGTGATTATAGCGTGCGCGAGCGAGATAGGAATAAGACAATCTACAAGTAAAAAGAAATAGAATATGCGTGAAGTTCGTATGCCAAGAATTTTGAATGACCATAATGACATTTGTCATTTACCTTTTAAACAAATAAAGGAGTTTTGATTATTTTTTCAAAGAAATTTATTAATTTTATATTGTGCAATACTGCCAAAGCTACAACATACTTCTTAGTGTTTGGTAGAGATGTTCTAAATATATAATTATATATACTTTTAACTAAATAGAATTTATGTTACACTTAATGTAAGAGAATAATAATAAATAATTATTTATTTAATTTTTCAAGTGTAAACTGAACTTAATTGACTATAATGACTCCTTTTCCAGTCTTTGATTATTTAATTGTAATTAATTATTTGCATGCAATCAAAAACTATTTTTAATAATGCCAAAGAAGTATAACTTCTTACGCGCGTACATAAGTACACGCACCCTTTTTTTCTTTGTGCAGTGTTGGCCTGGTATCGTCGTGCGACTCTCATCCCTGAAGTCGTAGGTTCGCACCCCGAACACCACAACTTTCTGTCTATGTGCGCAATTAATACTTGCTCCTGCAGGATATCATAAAGAAACCGGCATGCCATAGATCCATTAACTGGACGGAGTATGTTAGAAATAGAAGGCTGATAACATACTTGTCTATGATACAGAAACCTGAGGCCTATATTTCTTATTTGTGTTGATTGATCCTGTATTACAAGAGAATTAAATGTATAAAGTGATTATAATACACATAAGCTTAAGCTTTAGGCTTATTACTACTGTAGTCTTTGGTAATCCTCAATCTAAAACCGTTTTATTTATCGATATACGTTAATAAACATTCCGCTTATAAGCAAGTTATCACTACGCGGTGGCGAGAACTTTCATGACCCACCCAGTTCTGAAAATTATCCACCTGACAAAACTCTTTTTATTGGACCAATTCCTATATATGACCAAAACTATATATGACACCTCGATAATCCAGATCCATAGACGGAGAAGCTTGTGAAAATACAAACAAAAAAATACACGTCAAATTGTGAATCTCCTCGAGTTTTTTAATTCCTTTAAAATGAAAACTTTTTAGACATTAAGTCAGTAACGATGATCGAAGCAAGACGTATAGTTTTAAACTGTAGGAGGTGTTTAGTATCAAATTTACATAATAACCGCCAATGGATTAGGACCTTGTTTCAAATCATAGTAACGATCAGCTAAGACTGTTTTACTATTACTATACTACTATTACTATGTATATAGTGATAAAGGTCATGGTAAGGCTTTGAGACCCTCTAGGCGCTTTAAGTAAGATTTACCGCAAAATCAGTACAAATACTAAATCGCCATATGTATTATTCATTCATTTGAACCGACTTTGGACTTAATTAACGCCAAATGAGACTAAGGTAGAATGGGGAATCGTTTGTAAGCGATTCAAACATTTCGATATCAAGGTTCTTAGTAAGGTTTTAGTCCTCAAATAACGGATTTTGCGAAAATTATTATACAATTATTCTGCGAGTGATAGCTTTAAATTATAATTATTGCATATAATCATTCATACAAAGAATAATATTATAATCTATTACGTACGTCCCTTCGTCATTTCAGAAGCGCTAAATCATTGTTAAATGAATTCAAATTATAAAATGAATCTTTTATTGTATTCAGTAATAAGCAATTTACATCACTTTATTAGACTACTACTCTTGTTGGACGCTATATGATTTAATATATTTATATTAGGAAAATGGATGTACGGTTGTAGGTTCCGTGCTACGAGCTACGATTTTTCGTAGATGTAGTAGCTGTACCATTGTGTATCAAAGTACTAAGAAGTTAAGATATTTAAGAAATTGTTTAAACAGAGGCATCGTTAGTTTCTCACAATAAAATATTTATTTTACTAAGCTACTGTACATTATAGATAATGAAATCCATTAATCCAAGACAACTTAAGGATATACACTAAAGCAATAAAAATAACGATATCGCGTGCTTAGTGCTGCAATTTCAAGGTTAGTTAGTGATTACAACGCATGGCTTTCATATAATTACGCTACCTTGACCTTAAAGCGGTTCCTAACTGTCAGTGAGGGAAGCATTCGCCGAGAAATTATGTCATTTTCTTCAAATAGTTGAGGAAGTCTGACAAATGACGTTTGAAAACGGAAACATCTTCAATATTTAAATCACAAATAATAACATTTAATTTTTTTTAAACTTAGTATTTCTTTGGCTCGTTGCCGGTCTTATATGAATTGGCACGTATGCTCTTTTCTTGAAAGACTAAGTCAAATTGATTCGGAAATATTTGAGGAAGGCTCCAGTGAACTGCCTTATGAAAACAGTCCTGAAACGACAAACGTGGACGTGTTACAGGAAATATTCTACCTCTGTATAAATAAATATGATTATGTTTAAAACAGAAATAAATATTAACGAAATTTTTATTTCAATACACAACTAAGAGGTTCCTAATAAATCTTAAAGAGAAAAACGATTGGTGCGAGATAATAAAATCTAATGGAAATAAAAGTATTACGAGGAAAATGTCTACGGAGACAAATCGCTTTCTTTTTTACTTCCATTAACTAATTTTTCTCACTTGATTCAGATTTAAAACTAAAATATTTCCTCAGCTTCTAAGAATTGCTAGCTTGTTAAAAATTTAACACATATGGGTGTTTTTTATAAGATTGGATCTGAAGCCATAAAGGAGGTAAACGGTGAAGATATCTAAAGTGATCAAATCTATGATAACGAAACATTTTCCGATAGAAGTGATTTTTTTCTCTAATATATGTAGTATTGGAGAGTTCAGACACAGAACAAGCAATGAATACTGCAAAAGGTTGAGGCGGTTCGTGAACTTTGACACGTGATCTGAATTTCGTGGCATTCAGTTGAGACAATTCTTACTTACTTTGGCACATGAATCTTTTTTTTGGTTGTTCATTAGAGTCTAGAAGTATAGCTTAGTTAAGGTACATATATTAAGAAATAAAATATCTTAAATATAACGTAGGATGTTTGTACTGTACAAAATATAGATGGAATATTCATCTTTTAGAAAAGCAACTTAATTTAAGCGGCCATTTTAATGTCTATTAGCAATACAATAAAAATAATGACAAAAATTGAGTTTGTATTTTTCTTTTGTTACGATAACAATGCGTTCAGTGCAATACCACTAAAAACACTACCACACCCACCCAGTTTATTATTCCAAGCGATTCTCCAATGCCGAAAATAAAATTAAAACGCAAAAACCTTTCATTATAATTACGTACCATTGCGTGCTAAGCAAAAACATCAAGGCTAATGCAAAAGCTTGCCATTTTGAGGTCTTACTTTTGTGTCCATTTAGGGCCTACTGGGGTCAAGGATATCTTATTAAGGGCTTTAAGACTCTTAAATTTAAAAAAAATCTTTTGCATACACCTCTTTTTAACCATATTCTTTCCATCTGCTTAATATTGACTTATATATATTTAAAGAAAACACAGTATTTGCTTAATTATTTTACATAATTTTAAATTTTTCCCGACGTTTCAATCCGTTAAAAAAGTGTTTTCTTTAAAGTTATGTTAATAAAAGACAATATTATATATTTATATTTTTTTGTACTTGTAAATATATTATTTTTATGTGTTAAAAATTAGTATAGCACTTTTTTTACTTCACCCTGAGTTATTCTTTTTCCTTACTAGGGTCGCCTGGAAGCGTTGCATCCTTAATAATTTATGTTATCTGAATGCATATGTAACAAATATATAATGCAACAAAGTGTTAATGAATAAATATTTTATTTGAAAAATTTTGATGTCTTTTTTAATCTTCTACAGCGTTGTCTGAAGCCTAATCTAACCCATTCAAGAGACATGAATCTCGCTTTTAAGTAAAGCTGTACTATACTATACTGTATACATTTGCATGTATATCACGCAATCATGACTCACACTATTTTGTAGAAAACTAGTGTCGGCATATTGCCTGAAAGGCCTCGGTTTATAGGTAAAATATGAAAAGTTTCAATTACCTAAAATCAAAAGGAAAGTAACATTCATTTTATAGATTCAATCCAATAACGCAAATTCAAACAAAGTAAAATCAACTTTATTAAAGAAAATGTAATTCTCAATTCGCTAAGTCTAATATAAAACGGTGTGATTTTAAAACACAGATGACTAGGAATTATTAAGACTAGTTTTTTATATAATATTCTTATAATATTACATTATTTTAAGAACTATTTTTTTAAATTAATTTATATCCGCCAGAAGGCTTGCAAATGTGTTGCCGACCTTTTATGGTACGGTACGCTCTTAATGGTATGGCTTGTCCAAGTCTTATCGGTTCGGAAATATCTCCCGCAACTGGTTCTGTTAAGTGGTGTGCGCGGCGAAAATATCAGACTTCAATGATTGATTTTATTGTTCCCGAAAAAAAGTATATTACTAGTCAGTATAGTTTTCGGCACTACACAATACTAGATAGTACTGTAGTTTGGTCAACATAAAATTAAAATCAAAGTTTATGTACTACAAATTTGAAAATTAAAATTAAATAAATATTTCACTCGACGGCCCTAGTGTACGTTCACAAATAGTCGAGTTATTTGTATAATCGTAGAGCGAGGCCACAATTTGCATTAGCAATTTAATAACCTCTTATCAAACGTGTGATATATTTGGGTAAATTGTTATTTTAGCATTAATTCACTTTGCGCAATTATAATTGGTATAATTACGAGAAAATGAAATTGGTTTTGAAAAAATTAAGATTTATTATTCTGTAAGGTAATAATAAAAAACGCCAACATTATCTCGTTAAACATAAGAAAATATTAAACCAAACGTCTCGAGTGTAAAGGTTCACAAAAAGAAAACTTTACGATGTTATTAAACTTCCAAGATTTTCCTTCGCTCGTTCGGGGTATAATGGAAAGTGTCGGCTTACACCAGAAATACACTTCCGACATCGTATTAGATTTTATTAAGATACCTTGCATTTATAAGAAGATACTATATTTAGTGCTTTTTGTAGGATAAGCTAGAGATTTGGAGTTATATCTTTTTTTTAACATACATGCTAAAATGAATATAAACGCAAAATTATTATATTACTTTTTTAGCTCGATGTTTTGAATGCTTTGCAGCAGCCACGACAGAGCTAGAGACTGTCAAAACGTAAAGGTATGCAAATATATATAATGTAGAACAATATGTGTAGGACTCGCGTCACAAAGACAATGCATTACTTTAATTATCTAATACATAAAATTCTCGTGTCACAATGTTCGTTCCCATACTCCTCCGAAACGGCTCAACCGATTCTTATGAAATTTTTTATGCATATTCAGTAAGTCTGAGAATCGGACAACATCTATTTTTTCAACCCCCTAAATGTTAAGGGTGGTCCCACCCCTAAATTTTTATTTTTAGACAAAACTTTTTTATTTTATTTTATTATGATACAGCATACAGAAATACATACAACCTTTAATTGTACCCCTCTACGATCAACCCCTATTTTTTATTTGTTAATTATGACTTGAACTCTGAGGTTTTTATAGAGAAAAATTCACAACAACCTAAAAGTTTTTATTCCGGAAAACCGAAAAGTCTCTGGGGTAATATACCAAAATGTTGGTATGTACTAAAGAGGTACCATAAAATGACATTAAGGAGAAATGAAGTTCGTGGGGGCAGCTAGTATAATATAGGATTAGTAAAAATCCTGACCCTGAAGCAACAATTTTTAAAGTTATATATATATATATATTTATATATATACTATACTATAGCCCTTAATTATTTATTAATAAAAATAATTTATTTATTTATTGAAATACATATATGTCGTCATAATGGTTACATCTATTTGAGCATAAAAATTAAGGTTTTTATCATATCACCTATGAAGAAGGCTAAGTTTGTAATACCTAAGTAAGGTGTGAATTTCTTAGACATTTGCTATATAAGTACACGCATAAATCAATATTTTGTTATAAATATAATCATATTAGATCTGCCTATCGGTTCACTTTTATAGGTTTATCGTAAATGCTTAAGATACCTTTATTTAATAAAACTGTGTTTACCACTTGAATCCAATTTCGCTTGCAAGGCAATTGTACTACTTTTATTTTGCAATCTCGCAAAAATACTTTTGTTTTTCGAATCAAATAAGCTTCGCCGCATTTCAGACAGCTTATAAATTTCGTAGCAACACTACGGTCTACGCTACGTCCAAATATCAAGTGAGTGATAAATTTCCCCTGGGAAAATCGATTATTCGTCTACGCTATGGTTATAGGTGTTTGAGAGGTAAATCCTTTTCGCCGAATGACTTTTATTATTTTATTTATCAAGTTATTCTTTAAATGTTAAACTTTTTAGAGTCAACTCAATAAATACAACATAAAATTTAATCATTCTATCATTCCGAATATTGTAACACATTTGGCGCATCAATTTATTTAGAATATTTTGTTTTATATAAGCGACTATTATTTCCATGCTCACACATCAGAGTAGGTACGGTTATTTTCTAGATTTACCTTAACAACTTTCTCATCGATCAGCCACTGTAAGGCAGTGTTGGAGGCATTCGCCAAAGCTGTAAGTGCGCTTCGTTCCCACGACACATGCTCCCAGTGTTCGGTCATGATAGCTGCGCATAACATCGCCGTTGAACAACTGAAATTAAAGTAACCACTTAAATATTTTAAGGTAGCTTCTTCAATGGAAATCCCCTTAATATACTTTAAACATAAGCCTTACTAAATTAAAAGCAACGTTTATTTACTTTCTAAAATGACGCCAGCGCTTTGGACTCAGATGTTTGAGTAGTTTTATTTATGGGACAGGAGGCGAACGAGCTAAGTGTTTACCGCCCATGAACACCTGCAACACGTTTGCAAGTACGTGGCTGGTCCTTGAGGTAATGGTGTTCTCTTCTCTTGAAGGCCTCCTTATACCTGGAATACGTTTATGAGGTAGATGGCATTCTTTACAAAAAAATTAGTCACTATTTTCTATAATATATATATATATATATTACTAGCAGACCGGCCAAGCGTTGCTGTGGCTGGTTTTTGTTATATTACATAGTAGCGAACTATTCAAGGGAAACGGTAGGAGAATACCAGTCATGGGGACAACCATGCTTTTTTGGTGGTTATGCCATTAAATTGTAGCTTATGTGAAACGTTAGTACTTTCAACACAGCGCCATCTGTAAGAATTGTGACTATCAAATAATAAACAAATATTTTGCAATAAAATAATATTGCGGGTATAAATTGAGATGTAAGCTATCCTATCTTTTAAGTTGGATCAAACTACACACGGTGTGCAAATTTGATTGAAATCGGTTTAGTAGTTTAGGAGTCCATAGCGGACAAACAACGTGACACGTAATTTATATATATTAAGATTATATTTATTATCCGGATTATAAGATAATTATTTCGATCAAATTAACTCAATCAATAAATCAACTGCCGAATTTCTTCAATTCGTAGAATAACAGTGTATAAAATACTAGCGATTTTCATTTACGCTCCTCGCAGTTATGTAATTTTACTGGGCTAACTCGTTTATCGCATTAGCGGGGATGTTACTATCCAGATTTAGGACAAATAAACATGTTTTTATTTTCGTATTAATCCGAGTCTTAACTTGTTCGTTATACGTACAATATTTTCAGGTACTGTATACTCACTAAGACTAAAATCTAAGATATTTTTAATTAATTTTCCAAGACAATATAAAATTATCATTTATAAATTATAATTAATATTTTTATGTATACCTAGCTATGGTTAATTGTTTTTCTTGGCTATTCGTTTTTTTGTCTTGGCTTATTAATTTTTCCGTTCTGTACGTTTGTTTCTTTTTGATTTGATTAAAGTAATAAAGACTTGTCATCTGTTACACATCATACCACATATTTGGAATAAAAAGGCTTTCAAATCGTAAAAAAAGGTTTCCACTCCAAACACTTAGGCGCGTAACAAGCCACTTTTGTCTAAGGCCCCGACTGCCACTCTAGACACAAAGGTCTACTTCAAGCTCTTTATATATACTCTTCATATTCACGAAATGTCTCTCATACTAATAAACGACTTTTATACTGTAATTTTATTACGAGATTTTAACGATGGATGTATTTTGATGTAATAATAATAATAATAATAAAGCCTTTAATCAGATAGAAAATAATAACATAATTTTAAACTTAAACTTAACACTAGTGAGTCGGTGACACCGACAACCCATCTGTTTGCCCAACTTTGGCAAAGGCCTCCTCCATTTCTCTCCACTCTGCTCTGTTCTGAGCTTTCCTGGTCCAAATTTTCCCAGTTACGGATTTTATTTCGTCTTCCCATCTTCGAAACTGTCTACCTCGTTTTCTTTTATTATTTCTTGGGTACCAATATATGATCTTTTTGTTCCACTTTTCTATACCTCTTATTACGTGACCAGCCCATTTCCATTTCAATCTTCGTATCCTCGTTGTGACGTCTTCAATCTTCGTGTGGTTTCGTATGATTTTATTATTGATTCTGTCGGACTTCCTGATATTTAGCATGCTTCTTTCCATCGCCGTCTGGCATGTCTTCAATTGCCTGGTTTGCATTTTAGTGAGTGCCCAAGTTTGGCAGCCGTATGTTAATACCGGAAGTATGCAAGTGTTATACAGCTTTGATTTGACATTTATTTTTATTTCTGTGTTTTTCATGATTTCGCTAAGCCCCCAGTAACATTTCCACGCTTTCCCAATTCTTGTATCAATTTCCTTCGACATTATACCAGTGGTTGAGATCTGTTGGCCCAGGTATGTGTACTCTTTCACATAATCAATTGACTCTCCATTTACTATAATAATATCTTCTGATGCATTCGTCATGGCTTTAGTTTTTGAGGTGTTCATTGTTAGCCCTACCTTGCGGCTTTTCCTCTCCAGGTCTGTAATCATAATTCTTAGATGCTCTTTGTTTGTAGCAAATAGTATGATGTCATCGGCGAATCGTAGGTGTGTTAGTTGTTCCCCGTTTATGTTTAGTCCGTACCCATCCCATTTTAATTCTCTGAAGATGTCTTCTAGTACAGCTGTGAATAATTTAGGTGATAGGGGGTCTCCTTGACGTACACCTCTATTTATTTTGATTTCTTTTCCTACTTTTTCTAGTTTTATTCTAGCGGTACTATTCGTGTATATATTTTTTAATATTCTGATGTACTTTGGGTCGACTCCTTGATTTTTGAGACAGTGCCAGATATTTTCGTGCTCTATTGAGTCGAATGCCTTGTTGTAGTCTATGAAGCAACAATAGAACGGCACATTGAATTCTTTGGTTTTCTCAAATATTTGTCTTACCGTAAGTATATGGTCTAATGTTGAATATCCCGCCCTGAAACCAGCCTGCCCTGCGATTCTGTAACTCACTTTTCGAACTCACACAGCGGTTTTCGCTCTCAAATCAGTCGTGAAGCAGTCATTTTATGATTTGGCATTCTGATAAACAATAAACTACAAGCTCCCACCTTTTCAAAATGCCAAATCATAAAATGACTGCTTCACGACTGATTTGAGAGCGACCGCCGATGCGAAAACCGCTGTGTGAGTTCGAAAAGTGAGTTACAGAATCGCAGGGCTGCTCTATAGGTTGATTTTCGTCCAGATTTCTGGTTATTCGCCGCAAAATTACTTTCGCAAAGACTTTATAGATGTTTGACATTAAGCTTATCGGCCTATAATTGTTCATGTCACTCCTGTCACCTTTTTTGTGGAGGAGGATGATCGTTGATGTGGTCCACTGTAACGGAATTTGTTCAGTGCTCAGTATATCGTTAAAGATGTATTTTAGTAGTGGTGATATCTCTTTTTGCAGACTTGAAGCATATCATTATTAATCCCGTCAGGGCCGGAAGCTTTATCCTTCTTCTGGGATTCAATTGCTTTGTTTATTTCTGCTTCTATTATATGAGGAACATTATCGTTGCTAGTTAAGTCTATATTGTAAGTATGATATTTGCTGGAGTAAAGGTTCTCATAGAATTTTGTGGCTATTGATAAAATATCCGATCTGATAGTCCTTGTCTTGCAAAATTGGTCTTTCATATTAGGTATCCACTTTGTATTGTCAGATAAGAGCTTAAGAGCCTTTTTTATGCCACCCGTCTTGATGATATGTTTTTCAAAAAGTGTCACGTCTAAGACGTTCTCTGTCTCTTCTCATTTGGCTCTTAATTTCTTTGCTAGTTTTTCCTATTTGTTCTCTGATAGATTTTGTTTTGTAAGTCATTTTAATTAATTTTGATCTTTTTTCTATGAGGTCTTTTGCTTTAGCTGATATGTGGCCATTGTCCTGTGATTTGGTTTTAGACGTGGTTTTCGATCTTGCTGTTAGTATCTCGTGTATTATGTTGTATTTCTCTTGAGTTTTTAGGTGCTCGAGCGATGATACCTGCACGGACTTGAGGTTTTCTTTTATGTTGGCAATACTAGTGTTGCTGCACATTGTGGATGTTTTAATTTTGAAGGGTCGACATAACTTCAAACTAAATGATGCGTTTAAACACGCTCTAAGCATTCTATGGTTACTGTTGAAGTTAAGGGTAGAGATGGTGCCACAGTCGTCGATTGATTTGGGTCTGTTCGTTAAAAAGTAGTCTATTTCATTTTTGTATCGACCATCTGGTGATATCCATGTCCATCTTCTGGAAGCTCTTTTTTGAATACACTATTCATTATTTTCATATTATTTTCAAATGCCATTTCCATCATCTTTTGCCCGTTTCGTGTTCGTTTTCCAGTACTGTAAGGACCTAGTACGACATCTTCACCGTTTCTTGGGGTTCCAACACGTGCATTGAAATCGCCCATTATAATGCAGTTTTTGTGTGTGTGTTCTTTTAGGGCGGTGTTAAGGGATGAGTAGAAAAGGTCGATCTCTGAACTCGTTGATTGCTCAGTTGGTGAATATATTTGCACTATAGACCATGTTTCTCTGCCTGGAGGGATTCTAACATTCAATATAGCGATCCTTTCTGATATGCCGATTATTTCCACTATAGAGTTTTTGAGTTCTTTCTTGATCAGGAAACCTACTCCATGTCTTCCTGGAGTTTCACCTTTATAATATAATATGACTTCATCGTATTCCTGAATTGATTCGCCAATCCTTCTTACTTCGCTCAGGCCTATAATGTCCCACTTAATATTTTTGATAGAATATAGAAGTTCTTTAAGGCTTTCTTCAGACTTTAGGGATAATGTGTTGAATGTGGCTATATATATTTGTTTGGTATAAAATTGTTTCTCAGTTGCACAAGTATTCGTTTTAGGTGTGGGAGTGGGAGTAGTATTTGGAGGGTAATGGTCGCTTTCCCCCACGGTGACCAACCGTCTTGGGGTGATTGCTTTCAATGTTTCTTTGGCTAAGTGTGTTTCTATTGTTGGGTTGGGTTTCCTGTTGTTGTCGGCGTCTGTTGAGCGTTTTTTGATGTTGATGGTGAAGGTAGTGACAGTGATCTACCACGTGCTACGTAGTCTAGCATGCAAGTTTTATTAATCTTCTTTGGGCCCGCAGTACGTGTGTAAGTTGGGGATTTGCTTGGGGAGTTAGTGGAGTCTCTTTTTCTCTTATCTCTTTTGTCCTCTTTCGGTTCTTTCACAACTATTGTTTTTTG